CAGGTGAAACTCATAAGTCGGCAATGCCTTGAGCGATTCCTGCGACCCTGAGACGATTCGTTCTCTTCTCTTGATCTATTGATGAGGAGTAATGGATAGATTGCTCGGATTTAGCCACGGCGGTGCATGCAATGGTATGCTTCCGCAGACTTCAACGACTCGCGCGTTGAAAAGTTGCGAGGTGCCCGCAAGCGCGCTCCATCGCTTGTTCCTTGCACTCAGCAGGGGCTTGGTCCAAGGTCGCAAGAACAAGTTCCTGCTGGAGCAGCAGCTCGTTTCCTTGGGAGGCGTTGCCGAGCAAATGGCCCCGCGCTCAATTCTATTTCGGTCCGCCGGCTGGAAGCCTTCGGGGCATATATCTTAGCGACTGCGGAGGCCCGCAGGGCGATCCACTTGATGACTCGACGGGGCGAGCTGGAGGCCTGTTTCTGACTGAGTCAAGCCATGGATTTTTGGGGCTGCAGGGGAGTCGAGGCCTTGAAACTGACTGAGCCCGCCAAGAAATGGATTTTTGGGGCTGCTTGCTTGAGTCCCTGCAGGAGAAGGCAAACAACACCCTGAAAAGGAGCGGGTGAGGCGGGCCCGGACATGAGAGAAACTTTGCAGAAAGTTGTTTTTTGGCTTGCTGTGAGGGTAGTCGACCAAAATCCCACGGGGCACACTTGTTTTGTGTCAACAAAAAGGGGTCACCTCAAACAAGACACATCCACTGGTGATTTGAAGGACACCTGCAGTCACATACCATGGCAGATTCTTGAATGTGTCTTTTGCATTGCGGTCCCTTGCCGATCGTGCCAGTCAGCCCGTTCTCGCCCACAAAGCGCTTGCCAGAATGCTTGTTTCTTTGCTGTCTCTTCGTTGATTGCTTTCCGTTGGCCAGTGTTGTTTTCTTGCTCCCTGGCTTGTTGTGCATGCTTGTTAACCGCCTGCTGATTGCTTGCCGGCCGGTTCATCACGCTGCTTCTTGCAGGTTTCAAGACCTGTCCATACTGCAAGTGTGTTTGACGGTCTGCGTTGCTTTGTTTCTCTTGCTTGACATGTGTTGATCGCTTCCCTGCCCCGCTACTGCACTGAAGCTCAGTCATATTTACTCGTGCAGACGAGTGGTGAATTTGGGAGGGGAGTTGCAAGCGATCATCTGAGATTGTGGAGGCCGGCGCCTCCATGGGGATTTCTGAGAGTCAACCCGACTCGCAGCATGTTTTTTTCTCGTACTACACAGTCAAATCTCTGCGCTGTTTCAAGTTCAGCGCAGTGCTGATGGGTTGATCAGCATTCTGTGGAATGCTGCTAACCAGCTTGTTCTGAACCCTGCTGGACCGGCACATGGCAGATGGCTATCAAGTCAATCGATGTTTTCCTGCAGCACACAGGAGTGTTTGCTCGAGCGCGGTCCAGCCAGTCGAGCCGGGATGCCAACCTGAAGCTCGCCTTGGGAGAAAGAGCAGAGAGCTCAAGACAGAATGGATGGCTTTTTGAGCTTGTGCACCTCGAGGTTCAACTGTGCGGGTTTTGCAGTTGCATTTATAGCTCAACCCATCGGAACAGTCAAGATCTTCCGTTTGGCATCAGAGTTTGTCCGTTTGCAAACTAGTGACTCCTTCGTTTGTCCCTGTCGAGCTTTGCCGTGACCTGAGCTTCTGATGTGAATGATTCCCATTCTCTCAGGTCTCTGCAGGTTGGGATCGATGGAAACTGAGGCCATGGCAAATGAAGAGCTGTTGCAGAAGCTGCGGCGGCGGTTTGGGCCTAAATCATCTTGGGATGGGATGGTCCGCTTTACATACCGCTGCAGACACAAAGACACACCCAAGTGTGTATGTATGTATGGTATGTTATGTAATGTAATGTAACGTAATGTAATGGAATGGAATGGAATGGATGTAATGTATTTTATGTAATGTGATGGAATGGAATGGAATGTAATGTAATGTATTGTCATGTAATGGAATGGAATGTAATGTAATGTAGTGGAATGGAATGAAATGCAATGGAATGCAATGTAATGGAATGGAATGTAATGGAATGGAATGTAATGTAATGGAATGGAATGGAATGAAATGTAATGTATTGCAATGTAGTGTAATGTAATGTAATGTAATGGAAGGAAATGTAATGTAATGCAATGTAATCTATTGTAATGTAATGTATTGTAATGTAATGGAATGTAATGGAATGGAATGTAATGTAATGTATTGTAATGCAATGTACTGTAAAGTAATGTAATGGAATGCAATGTATTGTAATGTAATAGAATGGAATGTAATGTAATGGAATGGAATGGAATATAATGTAATGGAATGGAATGGACTGGAATGTAATGGAATGGAATGGAATGGACTGGAATGGAATGTAATGTAATGGAATGTAATGTAACGTAATGCAATGTCATGTAATGTAATGTAATGTAATGTAATGTATGTATGTATGTAATGTATGTAATGTATGTAATGTATGTAATGTATGTAATGTATGTCATGTATGTCATGTATGTCATGTATGCCATGTATGTCATGTATGTCATGTATGTCATGTATGCAATGTATTTGATGCATGTGATGTATGTAATGTATGTAATATATGTAATGTAATGTAATGTAATGTATTGTAATGTATTGCAATGTAATGTATGTAATGTATGTAATGTATGTAATGTATGTAATGTATGTAATGTATGTAATTTAATGTAATGTATGAATGTATGTAATGTATGTAATGTATGTAATATATGTATGTATGTATGTATGTATGTATGTAGGTAGGTATGTATGTATGTATGTATGTATGTAACGTATGTATGTATGTATGTACGTATGTATGAATTAATGTAATGTACTGTAATGTAATGTAATATAATGTAATGTAATGTAGTGTAGTGTAATATAATGTAATGTAATGTAATGTATGTAATGTATGTAATGTATGTAATGTATGTAATGTAATGTAATGTCATGTAATGTAATGTAATGTAATGTATTGTAATGTAATGCATGTATGTAATGTATGTAATGTATGTAATGTATGTAATGTATGTAATGTATGTAATGTATGTAATGTATGTAATGTATGTAATGTATGTATGTATGTATGTATGTATGTATGTATGTATGTATGTATGTATGTATGTATGTATGTATGTATGTAATGTATGTAATGTATGTAATGTATGTATGTATGTATGTATGTATGTATGTATGTATGTATGTATGTATGTATGTATGTATGTATGTATGTATGTATGTATGTAATGTATGTATGTATGTATGTATGTATGTATGTATGTATGTATGTAATGTAATGTAATGTAATGTAATGTAATGTAATGTAATGTAATGTAATGTAATGTAATGTAATGTAATGTAATGTAATGTAATGTAATGTAATGTAATGTAATGTAATGTAATGTAATGTAATGTAATGTAATGTAATGTATGTATGTATGTATGTATGTATGTATGTATGTATGTATGTATGTATGTATGTATGTATGTATGTATGTATGTAATGTATGTGTATGTAATGTATGTATGTATGTATGTATGTATGTATGTATGTATGTATGTAATGTATGTATGTATGTATGTATGTATGTATGTATGTATGTATGTATGTATGTATGTATGTATGTATGTATGTATGTATGTATGTATGTATGTATGTATGTATGTATGTATGTATGTATGTATGTATGTAATGTAATGTAATGTAATGTAATGTAATGTAATGTATGTAATGTATGTATGTATGTAATGTATGTAATGTATGTAATGTATGTAATGTAATGTATGTAATGTGTATGTAATGTATGTATGTATGTATGTATGTATGTATGTATGTATGTATGTATGTATGTATGTATGTATGTATGTATGTATGTATGTATGTATGTATGTATGTAACGTATGTATGTATGTATGCATGTATGTACGTATGTATGAATTAATGTAATGTAATGTAATGTAATATAATGTAATGTAATGTAATGTAATGTAATATAATGTAATGTAATGTAATGTAATATAATGTATGTAATGTATGTAATGTATGTATGTATGTATGTATGTATGTATGTATGTATGTATGTATGTATGTATGTATGTACGTACGTACGTACGTACGTATGTATGTATGTATGTATGTATATATATATATATATGCCTGCGTATAAATCTACATATATATATATATGTATATGTGCAGTATATATGTGTGTGTTTCAGGGAGCCGGGGAGTGTAATGTGTAGGCGCCTTCTCATGGGCGAGGATATGCCGACTGTCGGCCAGCCGGGCGCTCAACAGTTTCGAGAAGGGGACCCGGCGGTCGCTCACTCTGACTTAGGTCTAGCCATGCGCCCCGGGAGAAGAAGGAGGGGGCTGCTGGTCAATTGGTGACTGACTTGTATCTGGCTGTGGGTCAAAAATAGGGTGACCCAAAATGGCACCCTGGATGGAAACAATGACAACCTGTGGTCCAATTCCTGGTTGTTTAATTTTGACCCATACCCTGGCTCAGGAGCTCCAAGGTGATCTCGATCTTAAGCTCAGGCGCTCAAGCAAAAGCGCTGTCTCGGCGCGCGTGCATGCGCGCGCGCGCGCGCGCTTTGCGGCGTTCATCGGCGCGGTGCCGAACGTTGAGCCAGCGAGGCGCCAGAACATGGGCGAGATGGACCGGAAGACGGTGGCCTTGTCTGCGACGTAAGTTCTGGCGAGTTTGACCTTACCATTTCGGGGTAGGTGCACCACCCATTTTAGTCTATTTTAGTGGAGATTGGGATGTTCTCTGGGGGTACGGGCTTTTGACCCATGGCCATATTCACCAAGCCCCTAAGTATTTCTTCTACCTGATATGCATTCCCATGACAGACTGCATGCGCAATGAGGCGCAGCCACGGACCATCGACACCCATGACGTCAAGGTCCAGAGCATGTTTGGTGTTGACCGGTGCGTCGGTCCGTCCGCCGCCGGTCCAGGTAAAGCAACGTGCGTTGAAGTTTCAAAGCGACAGCCGTCAGCTCGCAGCCAAGTGAGCCTAGTGAGCCTTAGCCGAGTGAAAGTGGTTCTGCAGATACCTCCAGAGAATGGAGTGAGGCCATCATGTGGCCAGCCTGGGCGAGTCCATCTTCGTGGCCGCTGACTCAAGACGTTTGTTTGACTTGTTTCTGATGGCTGAGCAGACGCCAGCCATGCGTCAGGCTGGGAGGAGAGGAGACACATGCCAGAAGCAGAAAGCACTGAGCAGGCGCGATCACCGAGCCTCAGAGCTTCCAGTGTGCCGAATTGGGTGCCTGCGCTCGCAGGGCGCTGCCTTGCCCAAGACAGACCTGGGGGAAGACGGTGCAGAAGGGAGCTTGACGATCAATGAAGTCCCAAAGAGGGAAGTCCGCCTGGACATGCCGGACACGGGCGCGCTCCGTTCTGAACCAGAACAGCCTGGAGCACAGGGCCTGAGCGCTCCGCCAGATCAGATGGAGAGCTCCGCAACAGATGGTTGCCTGGGGAGCTTATCCAGTGGCACCCCTTGCCCGGAGGACAAACTCAAGAGCGATGTCAGTGGCAATGCACACTTAGACACTTGACTCTTTTCGAATGCTGTGCGCTGAGCTCCGCAGGACCAGACAAGCGAAACCGCAAAGCCTGCGGCACCTTGACTGCCTGCCCACGTGAGAACTGCCTGAGGGGCATGTGATCCAAGGCAGAAGCTGAATGCTTTTTCATGTGGGATAGCGATGATGACACGTGCCTGGCACTCGGTGTCCTGTCCATGTCGCGTTTGATATTTTTTGGTATCGACCCTGTCGTTCACGTCTGAGTGCTGTACTGACCGTTCTCGAGGCTCTACTTATGATGAGTGCGCGTGGGAGAACCTAGCCTTGGCAGATGCGCAAGAAGACGGAGACCATACTGAGAGAGCAACCCTCGCAAACATGATTTAGAGCCTGGATTATTTCAGAGGCCGACAGAGAAGAAAGAGGCCGAGGCGCGCACAACTTTGACCATCGCTGGGTTGTTGCAGAGGTTTCTCTCCATGGGGCACACCTTAAAACTGTGGTTTTTGTTGGGCTCCCTTTAAGCCACCCCCGCAAAAGCATACCCTCAGTGTGGCCCTGTCAGGAGCCCTTGGAATTTTCCATGCTCGACTACCTGGCAGCGCTTCCTGAGGTGTCTGCAAACCCCCAAAAAGGCGGTTTCCCTCAAAGCAATGACGAGACCTAGAGGGATCACCAGTTTCAACCCGTGCCAAGAATCTTGACACAAAGAACCGCGAACTGGATGTTTAGATATGAGCTGCTTTGGCTGAGCCTGAAGCCCGCAGACCAAAAGTAATTGTGCAGGGAGTGGCTGAGAAGCTTCACAACTGCCTCAAGACACATGAGGATCTTGTGCCAAGTCCTTAATCGGCAGGTGCTGAGAGCGCAAGACATGGGCTTTGCTGCTTTGCTGCCAAGGAGAAGACTCTGCCAAAGAAACGACTTGCTTCGCGCAGGAAACTTACAATCACAGCCCGGGTCTTCTGGAGAAGTCATAAATGTCTTGCTGTCAAGGCCCACATCAGAAATCTGCGCCGCGATGCAACAGAGGCCTTGCTGAGAAAGAAGCCGATGTTGGGACGGCTGGTGGCTTGACTTTGCGAGGCCAAAGCCTCGCCCAAGTGCCAGAAGCCAATCTCCAGATCGCCGCAGTCCTCCCAGGCTCAACATCTGGCGGAAAACGGGATACGACTGGGCCGCGCGACCTTTGGGCGCGCATCTCCGTGAGGCCGTCGCGGAAGCGCCCGGACCCTCGAAGGCGAAGCGAAGCGAGCCGACGCTCGCCGAGCGAGGCGACGCAAGCGTCAGCTGAAGGCCGAGATGACGGCCAAGGTGGCCATCAGCTCAGGTACGTCCAGATCCGGAGATGCGCGCCACATGCATGCCGGTCAAAGGAAGTTTAGAAGGAACTTCCGTGTTGCGGACACCAGGTGAATGTCTTGCGTGCAGATAAGATGAAAGAAGAAATGCGAGAACACATGCGTGGGCGTGTGGCAGGGAACGGTTTTGGCGCCTTTCGCGGGCGGAAAGCCATGGTCGCGGCGAATGCCGGGAAAATTTGGTCGGAACAGGGTCGGACCTGGCCCATTGGCATGGACGTGTAAGCTTTTCACCGCTAGAGAGCAGATGGCTGGACAGCGAAGTAGATGGCTAGGATATAGACAGGTAGATCAACGGATAGATATTATATATCGATAGACAGATGGATGACTAGGAGCAAAACGTGTAGACAGACAGACAGACAGACAGACACAGACAGACAGACAGACGAGACAGACAGAGACAGACACAGACAGACAGACAGACGAGACAGACAGAGACAGACAGAGACAGACAGACAGACAGACAGAGACAGAGACAGAGACAGACAGAGACAGACAGAGACAGACAGAGACAGACAGAGACAGACAGACAGACAGAGACAGAGACAGACAGAGACAGACAGAGACAGACAGAGACAGACAGAGACAGACAGACAGGCGACTTCAAGACTTGTAGGTGAAGACAAGGCGCAAAGAAAGATGGACACACGGGGAGATAGATGGGCAGACAGGTAGATAGCCAGATAGATGAGTAGATACTATGGGTAGACAGATAAATGGATTGATAGAGAGATAGATAGACATTTGCGGCTGCGTTGGCCTGTTTAAACCCATTTTCTGTTTTGGGAACCCACCATGGCCGGAACTATTTAGAAATCTCTAGGAACTATTTATGAATCTCTGGGAACTATTTATAGATGGCTGGGAACTATTTATAACATGCACGGAACTATTTGAAACCACCCCCCAGAACTATTTGGAGCCATTTGGAGTTATTTGGAGGTGTCTTTGGAATCATTTGGAACTATTTAGAGCTAGTTCCACTCTCAGGCTGGTTTGGACAACAGCTGCTTGCAAGCTGTAGTTTGGATGGAGTGTTGTACGCGTGCAACTGCAGCACATGTTTGCGCTCAGGGAACAGCAGGTTCACACAAAACTAAAACAGGACAGGGCGACAAGGGCCGGATGTAAGAAAGGTCGTTCGATGTAAACACAAACGCGCCCTCCGTGGAGAACTGGCTCAACACCAGCGCCACGTCCAGTACCTTCACTACTCCCTGGCTAGCCAACACATGCCCGCGAGTACCACTGTCGCCACCGCCAGCAGCGCAGAAAACATTTTGAACCTCAATGACTGCTACCTTTCACTACCATCAACGCCCCACTGCGGACAACACCCCTGCAAAAAGCCTTCCACCGCAACTGTCACTGCCACACTGCACCAAGTTACCACCAACTTCAGCACCGCCACCGTCATCATTGTCATCACTGCACTTTGCGTCAATTACCTCGCTGACAGATCTGGCCTCTTAGCGCCTCCAGCTCCCAAAGGCCCAGCTCTATTGAGCTCAGGTGACATTGTATCCAGTGGGGTTGTACCCAAACCACAGGGACCAGTGCGGCGAAACTTACACACCGCGCGACCATGCGTGATGATACAAATGGCGAAACTCGTGACAAACACAACTAACACTGCCACTCAGCGCGCTGATGGACCTATGTAATGCCCAGCAACAGCCGCTTGCTTGGGCGAGAAGGCTCCAGTCGTGTTGCTGCGGAGGCCTGATCTACTTGCTCTGTGTGACATGCTTCGGGACTTCTGACGTACGGGTTAAAAGGCCTTCCGTCGAAACTCATGATTGGTGGTTAAGTAAGGATCGTGAAGAAAAAGGAGGGAATGACTCCCTTGACTGCTAAGCCTTTCTGTAACAATCACACAAGCAACTTCTCTACAAATCCTTGGAGTCTGAGTATGCATCATTCGTGCAACGCATCCACGACACTTGCTGGCGGTCATCTTCCCCTATTCTCTTGGCACGGCTAGCCTGCAGGCTGCAGGCCCCACAAGTTTCCTTCTCAAGACCATCTTAGCTAGAATAGGCTGGAAGTGATTCCGGCCCTGTTACTGAGGGCCTGGGCTTTCATGACTGCGCCACGACTTTTCTTCAATTGCTTTGAAAAGCTAGCAACAAGCAAATGCTCACTCAGCGCAGTGTGGATGGATGTTGTGAGAGGCCCGCAAGCGCCCAACCGCTGTTGAATACTTAGCCTGGATAAGCAGGGCCACCAAAATCACCACAACTCAAGGAGAAATGAATGCTGAGGACGATGCCTGGAAATTATATACTACTTGTATGACATGTTCACCCATTTTGCATTTTAGGTGCCAACCTACTCCTGTTTGCAGACTGCTCTTCCCCCTCCCTTTATTGCAATAAGTTACTGAAGTAAGCTCGCTGTCCGGCCAAGTCCTCCTTGTGCCGCAGAGTGCATCGCCTCACGTCCAGGTTCGTCTTAACTTTCGACGTTCCAGCAACCGCCATCATCCTCACTATCATCGCGTTGCCAAACGTTCCTGAGTCCTTCGCCAACAGCGCTAAGACTTTGGTTTTGGGACTCGCCTTACAAGCGCTGCGAGGGCATGGCTGTGGCTTTCATTGATCATCCGTGGGAGGGGGTGAGGGCGTGATGATTGCTCTTCCACCTGCGCCACGCAAGGTGTGTACAGGTCTGGCCAGGACAAAAGGACTGGCCGACACAGCTGGAGAACTTGCCAAGGACTGGCAGCGCTGGCAGGACTAGCAGGGGGACTGCGCCGCCCATCAGCTGGCTCCGGCCATCACGTATCCAGACGGGGTTTTACGCGAGCCGTTTGTTTTCAAGCCCCCTTCTCAAAACAATGAAGAAACTATTTCTAAATGCTTGGAAGCCATTTATAAATGACTGGAAGCTATTTATAAAAGGCTGGAAACTATTTATGAAAGGGGGCTAGGCTGGAAACACAGGCCTTGGCTCCCAGCCTACCCAGCTGGAGCCCAAGCGACGAATGCCACCCCTGCCCGAAAACGTGAACTAGTCAAGCGTGGAATGGGTCACGTTGGAAGGGATAATGCCCAAATGTAGCTGCCACCCGAGAGTGCGGACACCCGGCTTAGCAATCCGCGTTGAAGCCTGGGAAAACAAGGCCGCGCGCCGAAGAATCACATCACTGACGCAACGCCACCCCTAGCTGCTTCAATCATTCAAGCTCGAATCGTCTTAGAAATTGAAAGGCCCGTGGCTCCGCGTTATCATGGACAGTTGGCCAAGGTGCCCAAGAAAACAGTTCCGTGACGAGCTGGCGTCGAAATAGAGAAGTAGCGTCGACGAGCGCGCCAAGCAGTCTTGAGATTATTGCCGAGACCTGCTGCGAGTGTTCAGAATGTCTGGCACTTATTATTCAACCATTTTCGTCTGGACACTGACAGTTCGGAGCTGTCGTAAACCAGTTGCGGCCGTGCTTCAAACATAGTTCGTAACCGTTCGGAACCGTCGTGAACTATTTCATGGCCGTGCTTCAAACATAGTTCGTAACCGTTCGGAACCGTCGCGAACTATTTCATGGCCATGCTTCAAATATAGTCCGTAACCGTTCGGAACCGTCGTGAACTATTTGTAGCCATGCGTTACAGACAGTTCGTAACCGTTTGGAACCGTCGTGAACTATTTGTGGCCATGCTTTACATATAGTTCGCAACCGTTCGAAACCGTTGCGAACTATTTGTGCGACCCAGCCCATATAGTTCCAAATAGTTCCAAATAGTTCCAAACAGTTCCGGACACTTCTGGATGCATAAATAGTTCGCAACCGCTCCGAACCGTTACGAACTATTATCAAACCATTAAGCCCAAATAGTTCGTAACCGTTCTGAACCGTCGTGAACTATTTATAACGCGGAACCGTTGCGATCTTTGGAGGCTTGCTCAGAAAAAATGTTTACCGCTCTGAAGTTATCGCAGGCTAGCGTGAGAGTCAATCAGTTGAAAGCGGGCCCAACCGATTCTTTCGATTTTAAGGATGCAGCACAAAGCTAAAACATAGTGTCGCAAAGCTATGCGTGGGCAGCCAACACGTCGGCTTGCAATAAGTTGATTATTGTATCTGGGCAGCTCCATGATGTGATTTGACCCCCCGTCTTCACGGCGCAAGTGAACCCATTGAACACCTAGAACACACAGGCAAAGCACGTGGCATGGGATGGTTTAAAGCTGGTATAACACGGCGGAGTTCGCGGAGACGTACCAAACCTCAACATAGCGTAGCTGCAGTACTCCAAAGACGCGCCAAACGGAATACAAGAGCACAACCTGTCGCGCGCTTTGCCGATGCCCTAAGGTGAGCCGGCAAGCAGCAAGCGCCAGATCATAGCATAAAACGCAACACATGTGACATATTTATGACCCGTGCCAAAATGTCCGAGGGACTGCTTGCGCAATGTCAATGCCTACATACCATGCGTGGAATCGTGCTCTTGACGCCGGTGGTGAACATTAAGTTGCGGTCACTGCCTGGTCACCTTATTTATTTGCGAAGCCCAAGGTTCTGAAGGGTAATCAGGTTTGAGCATCTGTTGCGCACCAATGAGCTTTGCAGCCTAGTGCTCAAATCTGCTGCGCAGCGCAGGTGAAGCAATGGGACATAGTCACACTCACCAAGCCACATACTGTAATCTATCAACCGCCGAGCTTAGGCTGTTGGGTGTGTCAGCGGTTGTGCGCATAGTTTGTTGAGGTTTCATTGCTGCTGACTGCTGGTTGAAGCCCTGCTTAAGTAGTGTTGCAAACATTGCTTGCGTGTTTGCAAGCCGTTTCCAAGGTATAAGTAGCTTTCACATGCGCAAAAATAGCGTCTGCGTGTTTACAAGTAGCTTCTGCATGTTTATGAATAGCTTCTGCGTGTTTATAAGTATCTTCTGCAGGTCTATAAATAGTTTCCACACTTGGCCTGCTTGGAAACAGTAAACAGGCCAACGCAGGCGCCAAGATAGACAAGATTAGATTAGACTAGTTCAGCTAGATACTGAGACAGCTAGATGGAACAAGGGCAATGATCTACACGAAGCATGTAGCGGAAGCGACAAAGAAAGAACAAAGGAAAGTGAAGAGAATGAGAAAGAGAAAGAGAAAGAGAAAGAGAAGAAGAGAAAAGGACAGAGAAAAGGAAAGAAAGAGAGAAAACAGAGAAAGAGCGACAGAAAAACGACAAAGAGAAAGTTTAAAGAGACAGAGAAAGAGAGAGGGAGAGAGAAAACAACATGAGACAGGGACAGAGAGAAAAAGCGAGAGGGAAAGCGAAGCATTGCTCTTAACTTCCGCCAACCGGCTTTGCCAGCTCTACTGCGAAACATGATTGACTCATATATATATATATATGTATATCTTTATCTATTTGTCGGAAGCTCGTAGCGTTTCAAGGAAGCCATGAGCTCCGAGCGGCTGCGCCTTCGCGACGAGCAACATGAGGCCTTGGCTCCCCCATTTGCTGATTCTGTGCTCTATGTGTTCACCCATTCAATCGAAGCGGCGGCAAGGCAAATCTCCGTGCGCGCTTGCAGCGCACCATCAGAGCTTCCAGAGAACGAGTGCAAACCATGCAGAGGCGCGCTAGTTTTGTGGGCCCGTGTACACGCGGAATTGGCTAGCAAAGCGGGGTTGGACTCAGCTGCTTCTACTTTCCCAGGCGCGTGCATCGCGAAGAGCAGCAGGCTTGGCATGGCTGCCCACATGCGTTCCACAGGACACATGGGCCAATGTCAGGTGAAGAGCCGCTTTGAGGCCAGAGTTTTTTTCGCGGCGCTCATGTGGCTATGAACTTGAGTAGGGAACCATCTCACAAGTTGTCGGACATGAATCCCCACCTAAATCACGTCCACCAGAGGATGCCCATGCAAAATTCAGTTCCCCTTATCGGTTTTACCGAACCGCAAATCTGCCCTTGCAAATCTGGTTTTACCGAACCGCGACAGGCCGCCTTGCAGAACCGCGAAGGAATGGAGCGGAGCATCAAGGCGCATCAACGATGCATGGGGTTCGCTCCATGGAGCTCCATTGAGCCAGGCTGCCTTGAAGGAGCAGAGCATGGCCCGGCATCGAATTGCAGAGCTCGAGGCTGGATGTTCGAGTGGCCTTTGCTTGTTTCAAAGAAGAAAGGGACATGAGATCAAGTGACATTTTCTGATGCTTCCTGAAGTGATGGCTTTGGCTGCATCGGAACGCCCTTGTTCTCGCACTTGCTTTGCTTCCGGCGTGATTTCAGGAGTCGATCAACTCGGAGGCAACGAGATGTCGAACCAAAGAGAAGGAGCGCGACCAGCTTCTGGAAAAGCAGAACTCCCTGCGCAACGAAATCAAGGCCAGCGCTTTCACAACCGCCGCACGCCGTCGCTGGGTCTCTTTTGGTCTTACCCAACAGGCACATCGCAGCAGGGCCATGAAGCACCAGCAAAGGGAGCGCCGCATTCAGGACTGGGATTCCGGTGAGATCTTACTTTACCTCAGGAACCCTGGTTTCTGAAAGTTCCCCTGGTAAATTCCAATAAACAATGGGTTTGAACCATGGTTTCCAAGTGCAGGATTTTGTCCATCAGTATTGACCCCGTTTCTTGGCCCTCACGCCCTCACAGCCAGGACATGCAGCGTGAGGTTGAGGCCGGCGGCGTTGCGGGAGGCGCACCCTTCGGTTTTTTCCCTTTTTTGTGGCAGGCCTTGGCCAAAGTCTACCATTCTGAAAGTCCGAGGTGGACTTTGTAGGGCAAGCTCAACAATTGAGTTTGTCTCAAAAGTAAGAAATTCCAAATATGGCTGGTTTCCTTTTGGTGTTCCATGAAACAACCAACCCAAGAGAAGGGGTTTCGATATGCATCACATGCAAGTTGCAAAAACATGTACAGGCCAGCAGGCACAATTCAGAAGTCTTCCAGACTGCTAGAATTCGCAGTAATTCAGAATCGCAACTTGAGCGCAAACTCGTTTGCTGATGCATACCTGTGCAAAAAAGAAGGTGGTCAATCATTTGAGATCATTCTTGGTCGCACTCTTCTTGAGAAGAGCGGCTAGCAATCGTGTTCCCCATGAAGTAGGATGCACTTTTGGATGAGTGTAGCACACCAACAAATGCCTCCCACTTCATGAAAGGGGTCAAGAAGCCTCCTTCTGGGAATTCGAAAGGAATGCGTCATACCACTTTGTGCGCCCACGGCTTTTTGGAACCTGCGAGAATCCCGCTTGCGTCCGCTTGGCTTGAGCTCGTAGGAGAGTGTCCTTTTTCCAGCCCTTGCCATGAAGTCCGCGTCTCGAGACTCCGCTTTGCTCGTGGGAGGTCTGCTCTCGTGGGAAGTGCCGTGAAAACGGCCGGAGGCATGTGGGAAGGTGCAGAATCTAGGGCCCTCCAAATGGTTTCGTCCATATGGCTGTGGCTCAAAAAACCGGTACCAAAATGGGGACCTGGTAAGTGGAAATATGGACCAAAACCTGCGTAACCCCCACTGTTTAATTTTGAGCCACACCCATATGGAAATGTATCAAAGGGCCCCGGACTTTGATCAAGACCCATTTAAATGCAACATGTCGGCTTGATGGGCGTTTTCGTTGCAGGGGCTTGCTGGTGTCTGAGCTCCTTTGCCATGGAGGCTTGAGCTGTTCAGTCCTGGAAAAGGGCTGGACATGAGCAACTTAGCAAATGATTGGCAGCCTATTGTTAGTCTGGGGAACATGCGCAGCCAAGTTTGGCAGGTTTCCATGCGTCGGGGTGAAACGTGAAGTACCCCGTCAGCATACATTGTCGGGTTCACCTACTGGGCCCACTTGTGCCTTTTTTGTTGAAATACAGGTGACCGGCAAACCTGAAGGGATCACACCACGCCTTGTTTCTTCTTCTTTCGGCGGAGAGCAGCTTCAGCTTCCATGGCGATGCGCGCCATGGGCGGCTCAGAATTCGGCGCTTGATCCAGCGGTCCTTGGCCCGGGCACGGGCCATGGCAACGGATTTGTGCACCTCGATCGAGCTATGGGTCACTGCGACAGGTCGACGGTTGGCAAACAAAAAGCACCCGCAAACATGAGGGAAACAAGGCAAGTATGCTAGGTCCTTTGGGAGGAACAAGCAATTAATTCTAATTCCGCCCGTTGCTTTTACGAGTCTTTCTTCTTGCTTCTCTTCGGATAATGTATACAGATTTAGGCATACACAGTTACATACTTTGAGCCACCCCAAGACACCACGCGCGCACATACACACACATGCACGAGCATGCACTTTCACATACATTTACGCACAAACTCATACTTCCACGCTTGCTTACATACTTCCGCTCCAACTGACACACTCTTAGAGACCGAGAGCTTTCAACCGCCCTTTCCACACAACGCACATGCTCACACACACGTTTACATATGCATTTACCTACTTCACACTTTCACACTGAACATAATTAAGTTAACTTGCTTGCTCTGCTTGTCTTTTCCCACCCTGCTTGCTCTATTCTGCCTTGCTCGGCTCTGGCTCTGGCTCTGGCTCTGGCTGTGGTTCTGCTCTGCTCTGCTCTGTTTGCTTTCTTTGCCTTCTTTGTCTTTGCTTTCTTTGCCTTCTTTGCCTTGCTTTCTTTGCTTTCTTGGCTTGCTTGGCTTGCTTGGCTTGCTTTGCTGGCTTTGCTTGCTTGGCTTGCTTTGCTTGGCTGGTTTGCTTGCTCGCCTTGCCTTGCCTTTCCCTGACTGCCTTGCCTTGCCTTGCCTTGCCTTGCCTTGTCTTGTCTTGTCTTGTCCTGCCTTGCCTCGCCTCGCCTCGCCTCGCCTCGCCTGCCTGCCTGCTTGCTTGCTTGCTTCAGACCTTCCCGCCTTTTCACCTTCACACTTTCGCACTTTCAGACTTTTAACACCTTACACCTGTACTCTTTTGCATTCTCACACGTTTACTCTTTCATACTTTCACGCTTTCACACGTTCACCCTTCGCACCTGATATCTTAAAGCTTTCGCACACACTTTCACACGTTCCCGTCTGCTCACTTTCCCACTTTCACTCCTGCATACAAGCTCACTTGCGCTTGTTATACCTTTACGTGCTGTTGCACTTGATCACTCACCCGTTGATACACGATTGCATTTACACATGCCGTCATTCTCTCTGACACACACACACGCACAGCCACTCTTACCGCTTACCCACACTGCTGCTTGCCATGTCATTCGTTTGTTTCTTGCTTGGGTTGTTGAGCTCAGGCCCATCACTGGATGCAACAAAGTCTCCGAATGATCGGAACAGCCACCTGTCAGAATTGCAGTCTTTTAAGCTCCGACGCCGGCTGGAGTGAGGCTATCGAGTCGTGGAGCTCAACAATGGGATCCAGGCTTTGCTGGTATCAAACGCAGACAAGCGGAAGCAGAAGGTGGCGTGCGCTTGCTGCGTCCAGGCATTTGGGTCTATGGGTCTCAAGGGGCACTGAGCCATTGTCGCCCTCAAGAAAAAAATACGTTTGTCTAAAGCCAAGAATCCCCTTGAAATGTGGTTCTGCCAAATAATGTCCAAATGAGACTAGTAAATGCACGCGCTATAAAGACAACCGGGGGGCCCAACAGGATTAGTAAATGCACCTGGAATAAAGACAAGCACCCGCCACCCCGCGCCAAAAAAAATCCCCCCCCCCAAATAAAAAAGGAAAAGAAAGAGAGAAAGGAGAGGAGATATAGCCAAGCCAACACCTGGTCCTTGGATCTTTGGTACCTTGTTCCTTAAATCCCAAATTGTCATCTTTACCAAACCCATGCTTTCTTACATGTCTCTTCTTTAAAACCTGCCCACAATCAAACCCACAAAGGGGGTTGTACTTCAGCCCCCAACTTGACATTATTTCAGGGGTCCCCGAAATAAAGTCTTGTTGCCTGGCCCCTCCACGAAAAACAAAAGGAAGCTCCAGCAATACTAAATCAAATGGAAACTCAAGTCTACCAATACCAAATCAAATGGAAGCTCACCTCAAGACACTATTTCAGATCCCCCCATCGTTGAGGGGGGGGGACTCCCGTTTACTAATCCCCATTGGACATTACTTCTGCACCCATTCTCCCAAAAAAATCCAGCGGTTTTTCACTGCAATACTGCATGTTGGGTGCCTTGGTCCAGCTGTTGTTCACTGCACTGCATGGTGCCTGAATTGGTCAGGTTGGGTCCTTCAGCGATCCAGATCGATGCCAGGGGCTTGCGCACTACTGCGGCTCGGACGGACCCGGGCGGAGTATTTCTCGGCCCTGGTGCGGCTCTTGAGCCGAGGTGAGCACATGATCTTTCTGGGAAGCAAGAAGTATCCGGGAGAAGCCGATTTTGAGGAGTTCCTCTCTGAAAATGGCGGCGACTCCAATGCCTACACTGAATGTGAATACACTTGCTTCTTGGCCAGCACTTTTACCGTGGGTCTTGAACCAGACTAGTATGATCTATGCCCCGCCGGGCCTGAGGTTTCTACTTTCAGGTGAACTGCAAGGCAGGTGCTGGCGCATTTCCAGAACAAAGCACCTGCTTCCAGGCAATATGGAAATAAGCCGACATATTTGCACACATGGCATAAAATTTGCAGGCCACAGGTTTACGATCGCTGAAGCGATCGTAAACCTGTGGCCTGCAAATTTTATGCCATGTGTTCATCAAAACGTAATTTTGGGAATTGAGTATATTTTATGCGACAATACTGCAATTTCGCAACACGATGCGCACCACTTTTTCCAGGCCTTGAAAGTTGTTTGGGAAGAGCCGGTGGAAGTGTTTGGTGGGGCCAGGCTCGCCTGGGAAGTCTTTCCTGGAGCGGCCCGCGGAATCCAACTTCAAAGCACCCTTCATCTTAAACCTTGTTGCAAAATGTGGCGCAACATGTTGTGCAACATATTGCTCCCACGTTTACTTGACTGTTCAAGCAATTCTGGTTTGCACATGACAGGTGCTATTCCATAGAACGCAGAGATTTAGAATGCAGAGATGTCAAGATAAACTATGCACAGACTGCAGATTCGGCATAGCCTTTGTTGTTCTAAACTTAACAGCTTATGTAATGCACAGATATGGAAGATAGACATATTTAGCATGTAAAGACTGCAGACGTAGCACATGCTTGCTTAGCCTTTGCTTTTTAAACTCAGCCATGTTGAGCAGAATGGCGCTGGAACAACGGCAACAAAGTGGGTTTGTGGTGGAACATGTAGGTGTGGACGGGGGTCCTAGCAATTAAATAAACAATATATGCAGAACTATATATATATATATGCATAAACATATGTAAGTATAAGATAGTCTCAAAAGAGCGAACCGTGGCGGTGCCAGGCCTTGCGCAAGGCTCTTGACATGTTTGCCCAACTCTTCCACGAGCCCCTCTTCACGCCGGATGCCTCGTCCCGGGAGCTGCAGGCCCGAGTTCTTTTGGGCAGCATGTGAAGGGTTTTTATGGAAAAATGGCAGCAGACTTCACATAGCAAGCTTCTTCTGCCAACTTCTTGGGTGCTACGAACGCTAAACCCGCAAGCCAGCACTAAACCATCCCAAAACCAGGCTACACCTGCTAACCAACCCTACATCCCCACTAAGGACAGCGTGAGCCACAAGTAAGCCCACCAACCCACCCTAAACCTTAAACTAATCCCAAACCAATCCTAAACCACCCTAAACACTATCCAGAACCAACCGTAAGCAAGCCCTAAGAAAATCCTATACTAACCGCAAACCGCCCTAAACCCGCCTCAACCAACCAAACCAGCAACCTATCCTACCCGAAACTGGCAGCGTAGCTGGTGATGCTGCGGGTGCAAAAAAGACTGCTGGGGAAGTTGGCTGTAAAAGGCGCGCATTTGATGAGACAACGCTGCAACATAGCGTTTCTAATGCCCAGAACCCAACACACCTGAAAATAAACAAAACAATTCCTCTCGACTCGTTACTTCACTATCCCAAACACAGAAGCTAAGTTTTGTCTCCTCCTCTTCTCGAGTCTTCTTCTTTATTCGGCGATCCCGAAAAACGCAGTGCCGGCCAACCTTTCCGAGTACTTCACAATCCTAAACATCTCCCGTCTCTTCTGGAGTCTTAGTTGTTGTGCTTTGTAACTTTTGAGCGCGACAGCAGCGCGCGCAAAAAATGTTTCGGAGTTGTAGGTCGAGCATCGAAATTTAAACTGCAAAGTAGAACATCTGCAAAGTAGAAGTCGCAACTTTTCCGAAATGTGGCCCAGATGTTTCAAAGGCTGCGCCGAAGTTGCACTGAAATCCATCAAGCCCATCAAGCCTGTCTTGAGCACCCGCGCGTCCTGCACCTTCACTTGCCCCAGAGCGCAGGGAATTTGGCGCCAGCAAAGGTGCCGAATGTTTGTGGCGCCGCTTCTGTTTCTTTGGTCTGATGCAGACAGGCGGAATGCTCCGCCAATCCGCGCTTCGCCATCGCTTCGCGATGATGCTAGCGGTCATTGAACTCCAAGGGTCCCCAACCCGAATTCACACGTACAAATGACCTGCAACAGTGGGTCACGTGACGTTGCTGGAGATTCATTCTTGCATCACGTTGCGGGGGAATGGTCACTGCTTTGGAACTCTTGGATCGATGCACTTCCGTGGCTTGTGTGGACAGAACATGTTTCTCGACCCAATGTGTTACTGTTTGGAATGCCTTCAACAAACCGTGGGGGACATGTGGTACTTGCGCTGGTTGCAGGCTTGTTGGGCTCGAAGGCAGCGTGGGGAAGACTCGTTTCAATCTCGTTTGGCTTCCGGGCCACTCGTCGTCTAGCTTTGCATGCTGTCTGTGGCATGGGAGCGAGAACTGCGTCATTACATAGGTCCTTATTGTGAATCACACGGGCTGAGAGTATCAGTAGTCGCCTCTTGTTGATTGGGCAGCAAAAATTGAGGGACAACTCAATCCCGAAATTTCTTGTCCCTGCCCGGATTAACAGGCTGCGGGTCAAAAATAGGTACCCAAACTGGAAAACTCTGAACAATGGAATCAATGACTGAAACCTGCAGTTTTGTTGGTGGTTTGATTTTGACCCATCTGGAAACTTGTGGTGCAGGCCATCGAGTCGGAGTTCCAAAAGAAGAGGCGGAGCGAAGCTTGGCGTGGTGAGGCCAGCTGCACAGCGCTCGTCATGGTGCGAGTCCGAGGACAGCGTCCGCGCTGAGACGCTCTTTGCGAGCTTTGCGTCTGCTGACCATCCCTGGAGGCGGTTGGCTTTCCTTGCCAAACGAATGCGAGAGACAGACGGTTGGACGGTTGGCCAGGCTTTTTGGCTGGGGCAACCTTCAAAGCTTGGATGAGGAGCCCAAGAAGCAGGCTAGCCGCTGAATAAGCTTGGCTTTGCTCTTCCCGCTCTCCGGCAGGGGGTGGATCTTCATACAGAGCTTCGCGGCTTTTTTGCAGAGCACTACAAGGCGCGTAATTTGTGGCTTTTGGATCAATTGGTGAACCGTGAGAGGGGGCGCCGCAAGGCTGCTCAAGACATTTGCCATGGGCCAAACTCCAAACATTTCTTGAGGTTGATGAACGATCATGAAGCATTTTATTCCACGGATTCCGAGAGGGGGAACCCGAAAGTCCTCAGCACACGGATTGTTGAGGTGGTGGAGTGGCAGTTGGGGTGGAATTGGGGTAGAGCTCGAGGGCTACCTTCCAATTCCATTCTTTCCAGAAATCCTTCTTTTCAGGAAATCATGAAAACCCAGGGAAACAGCTGGTTGTTGAAGAGAACGCTGGTTTAAAAGAACGGGGAATCTACCCCTAGAAGAGCTGGAGTTGGAGTCTTGACCATGGCACATGGCACGCAGGCGAGCCGAATGCGACTTTGTGTATTTGGCATCGAGAGCCTGGACACATTGGAGACGGCGGTGTGTGAGAGTTTCTCTGCCATCAAGCCTTCCCCTTCCGTGCCGCAGCTGGACTTCGCGAGATGTGGGATGCCTTTGAAGCGCGAGGCGGAGGTTTTTCTCAAAAGTCGGCTTCGGACGACCAAAATGGTTGGCTTCCTTGGGGTTTATGAAACCCATCCTGGAAAGGGTGCCCCAAAAAAGAGACACCCAGTTGCATCAAGGCACTGCAACACTGAAACCTGGAGGATCTTCCGCGACTGGTCCGAGTGCGCCCGATCAATGACTGCCATTCACTGTCGATGAGTTGGCAGCTGCCCTCGCAACTTCGTTACTACTGCAGAGCTTTGACTTGACTAGGTTGTCGTGCAACAGACTCTATGGCTGAATGCTGTTCCCGGGCTCGAAATCTCGCTGAGCCCGCTCAGGCAAACCAGAGGGCTACCTCAGCAGCTTGATAGGTGCGGGCATTGCACTGCTTGGCGCGCTTCTGGGGTTCGAGTCGAGAGGTGACGAAGGTGAAGGCTCCATACTGTCCTTCCTGAAAGAGGAGGGATGGGCCACGGAGCTGACAGCCGGTGCCGGTGGCGACAACTTCACTTCCAGTAGCGCCTTGGTAGTTCAACTTGGAAGACGTTGCCAGATGGAGGGAGCGCTTGTTTCTTTCGATCATGCACCCGCTCTGTAAAAGCTTAGCAGGCAGCATGCGGCAAGAGCAAGAGGTCGTACTTCCCCACCGCAGAAGGGGTACCCCCCAAAAGCAAGACAGACCCAGCTGTTCTTGAGGCCTACCAGAGCTGGTTGTATGACGTGCGTCTCAGTCTCAGCGCAATCGAGGCAATTCCACGATCTTCACTGTGGAAATCGAGCTTACGGATGCGGGCCTGAATGAATGGCAAAAAGTGGTCCTCACCGTCTTCCAGTACCTGGCTATGCTCCGAGATTTTCCTCTTGGCGGTTTGCCAGCATACTTGCATGATGAAAGGAAACAAATCGGGGACATGAGCTTTCGATTTCTGCAGGAGAAGGACCGTACTCGCGTGAGCGGGTTGCCTTGGCACTGCTTTTGTTCTCTGTTTCACACACACACACGCACAGAGATACACAGTCAGACACACCCACCCACCCCACCCACCCACCCACCCACCCACACCCACCCACGCACACCCACCCACCCACCCCACCCACCCACCCACCCACCCACCCACGCACGCACGCACGCACGCACGCACGCCCCGCACGCCCCGCACACGCCCCGCACGCCCCGCACGCCCCGCACGCCCCGCGCCCCGCCGCACGCGCCCGCACGCCCCGCACGCCCCGCACGCCCCGCACACCCCGCACGCCCCGTACGCACGCACGTGCACGCACGCCCCGCACGATCGCACGTGCACGCACCCACGCCCACGCACACGCACACCCGCCCGCACGCCCGCACATGCACGCACGCAGACCTGCACGCGCACACCCACACGCACACCCATACACACACACACACTCTGCCACACACTGCAACACACTGCAACACACTGCAACACACTGCAACACATAGCAAACATCGGAAGCATCATACCATTCCTTGACGCAAGAAGGCAAGATTGTGATAGAAAGCAACTTGCCTGTTGGCAGGATCCATCTGATTTGGTGGTTGACCTGAGCGAGACATGCCTGATTCCAGCAAAGCACATGCGGCTATCTTGGCATTTTTTTGGGTTACGCATGTGAGCGAGCCTCGGTCAGAGTTGTCTTGCAAGTGTTGTAAGGAGCGCATGCTTCCCCTGTACCATCACTCGCCTGCTGAATTGCTGAACGCACCCTGGAAGTATGCAGACTTTCGAGAGGATTTGGTACGGCAGCAAGGCTGCACGAGAGCCATGCTGTTGCTCGTCGGTAGACTTTGATGAAGGGCACAGCAGGTTGCTTCCAGGTTACGAGTCCTTAGTCGGCATGTTCGAAATGGGTATGGGTCAAAATAAACCCACCAGGGGACCGCAGGTTTTAGTCTTTGGTTCCATTTATCGGGGTTCCATTTTGGGTACGCATTTTTGACCCACAGCCAAATGAAAGTTAAGAGCAAGACAGCGGTCGATTGTTTTTTTCGCGTCTCCTAGATCCATCCTTGATGACCTGACAGTGCGAAACGTCTTTCTGATGCTGATGAGCAGCAGCTACGGCAGAGCAGGCACCGCATCATAGGTAGCATGGTCACATTTGTTTCGCTTGGAGAAGCATCAAGTTGTGAGCACTCATGCATGGCGCAGTACCTGACATCAGGCGGCCTGGACGCTGAATCGGACGCGGACGAGAGTCAAGACTCTGCACATGAACTTAGAACTGCGTCGCGGGCAGTGGATGACTCTTATGACGGCGACTCTGAATGGAAGCTTGAGACGCGCTTTGGCACGGAGTACTTGGAAGCGGCGCTTGCAGAGAGTTGGCTTTCGATGTGGGAATCTGCTGAGCCACAGAGGCGCTTGCACGTCCCTCCTCCAAACCGTTTCATCGCAACGGACTTCAACATACTGCCAGACGCTCTGCCAGAGGAGCTTCTGCCCGATCTTCCGTGCTCGGGATATGACGGCTTTCCCATTCCGCAGGCGAGACGCCTGCGCACTCCTTCCCTCACCAGCTCCGAAGGCCCGGCCCGTTGGCCCCTGTGCAGTTGGATCTGTACCCCAAGCGCTGAACCTGTATTTTTCCCAGGACGTACTTTAGTTGAGTTTTGATGAAACAAAAATAGGAATGATGGGGGGTCCTAAGTCGCACACGTGTCACACTCGTCATATTCCCATGCATGATGGTTAGCAAACATTCACGTGATCTTTTTTTCTTTTTTTTTTGTTGGTCATGGCATAGGAAGGACAGGACAGAACCTGGCATGGGCACAGCATGTACACCAGATGGACATCATACATAGCACTGACGTCGAATTCCCTGAAGGCTTGAAGATGTGGCATCTGCCTTGCGCGCAGCAGTTCGAACAGCCTCGCAGCTTGCTTACCCTGAAACTGACCTCTCCATACTACGCGCTGGATCTAAGTTCTGTTCGCAAGGAGGTGCTGCTTGAGCTATATTGTGAATGTTTGAAGGACAATCTGAACGAGACCTTGTACTCAGCGTCCAAAGCCAAGTTGCACTGCAGCTTCAGAGAGTCAATGTACGGGCTCAGCCTGGGAGCCGGTGGCTTCAGCCAGAAGCTCTTGGCTCTGGTCGAGACAATGCTTCAAGGGCTTCGGCTGGAGACCTATGCCATGCATCGATTTCGAGCGCAGCGAGAGGAACTTCTGAGGGGGTACAAGAACGCCTGGCTGAAGCCTCAGGCGCATTGCGCGCAGCTCCGCAAGCTTCTGCTGTTGCCGGCGACGTTGCGACCCGCGCAGCGGGAAGCCGAGCTCAGTGCTTGCGGAGAGTCCGAGCTCTCCGACTTTGTCAAGAATTTCTGCTCCGAGGGAAGCTGGGAGCTTTTAGTCTCTGGAAACACGCGGAAGGATGAGCTGACTTCATGGATACACGCCTCGCTTGCAACGCAGCTGCCAATGCGATCCACCACAGTTGTCGAACCTGATGTGGTACAGCTCAATGCTCAGACAGCTGCAGTCTGGCTTCAGTCTGGCTTAGACAGCACCCAGACAAACTCTGCAGTGGAGATATACTTTCAGCTGCCTGGTCGTGACTCTTGGGACTTTCAGCAGGACAAGTGTTGCCGCTTGGATGCGGGTTTCCTTGAACGTCTCTGACCCCACTTGTGAAGGACCGCGTGCGGACTAGAATGTTGCTGGAATTGCTGGAAGATATGATGTATGAAAATGTGTATGATGAGCTGCGAACAAAGCAACAGCTTGGGTACAGTGTTGGATGCAACATGAGAGACACTTGACTGCACTAGATGGCAAGTGCTTGTTCAGTTGCTTCCACTGGCAGCAAGGACTCATTTGGAGTTCTGGGCGGCATGGCTGCAAGAGCTTGTCCAGTCAGGCCGATCTGGGCAGCTCTGGCTCAGGCTTCAGCATTTACGTACTCTCCGCGGTGCAGAGACCGCCTGTCCTTCTTGAGCGAGTTGATGCATTCTTAAAGGACCCACTGCTAGTGTGGCTCATTTAGGGACCGCAGGCTCAAATTTTAGTCTTTGCTTCCATTTGCCTGGTGCCATTTCGGTCTCGTTTTCTTGGAGCCACCATTTGGGGCGCGGTGAACGGTTTCTGGTTCGAGCGGGGCTTCGCAGGACTTTACGCGGCAGCTGCGAGAGTGGCCTTCCGAAAAGCTTCTCGGCGCCAAGAGAGAGCTTCAGAGGAGTGGAATGCATGCGGCAGTAGGGTCAAAACCGTTTTGGGATCCCATTTTGGTTGGTAGGTGAATTCACCACCCATTTTAGGCTTTATTTTAGTGGTTGGATTGGGATGCTCATCGGGGGTATACAGGGTTTTGACCCATGGCCATGCAAGAATAGGGATACCACTGAGGTTTGCCAGCCACATTGTTGGACTTGGAGGCGTGCACTTGGTTTGAATCTCCTGCAATTGCAATGTTGGTGGATGGCAGGCCGCAAACTCGAGCCAAAACGCACTCTTGCGGATATGCATGGTGCCTGCTGGTCGGAGAATCCTGTGCGCAGAAGCCACCACATTGTTTTGCGGTTTTGTCAGAACGATGCGAGAGCAATTCGCTGTACTGTACTCACCATGCTGGCCTAAGGATAAGCTTTGGGCGTCCAATGTTTGATCGTGTGGAGAGGGAGACTGCTGTGCTTGGTCTTCTTCAGCCCCCTGAGCTGATCGAACTTTTGGAGAAGCTCGGCTAAAATAGCACAGACACAAAATGCATACAGTGTGTGGAGTGGCATTCACTCATCACAGGTACCTTGCCGCTTGTGTAACAGCTCAGAAAAGAAACAAAGAAACAAAAGCAGATGCGACTTGAGGACGTATCTGGCTCCAGGCTGGGTGTGGATCTTGTGATTATGTTTGCCTGGAATGACTTGTCAGGTGGCCCAGGTCGGGCATGCTTGATCACCGCAGTCGTCCCTCGAGCTGAAGACAAAGAGCTGGAGGCTCTCTGCAAGGCGGCTGACGCAAAGATGAGCGTGACACCTGCCTCTTGCCATGAGCCTTCAGCAATTTTGTGCTCTCAAGGGTCTTGCAAATTGCTGACTGGCTGTGTTTAGAATCACGCCTCAGCGCATTTTCTAAGGTGGTGGATGAGCAGGACTACCGTTCTAAGAGCAAGTTACACCCAAGAAGGGTGTGACTGAGCCGGGATCCAGAGAAAAGGCGCCAGCTATCATTTTGTTTGAGCACGTGCCTTTCGCTCAATGTTAAGCGGCATGATTGATTCATAGCAGTGTAAACCGTTCTTGAATGCCAAGCCCATGCGCTGGAGTTCAGCTTAGGTTTGGCAAAGAGCTGGAAAAGATAGACATACCCAAGTATCGAGGTAATTACATCCAGTACAAGGCCGGTGTGGGTGGACCGGCAGCCAAGAAGTGAAGCATTTTTTTCCAGGAGTTAAAGAAGGCCATCAAAGTCTTCACCGGGCAGGACTGGACTCTGAGACTTTGCTCAAATTCTCGGCTTGAGCTCTGGGAAGACGATGGCTCTTGCTCGCACATCCGAGTTTTATTTTTTTATTTTTCCAGGACAAGGACAATGCAAGTGTGAAGGAGGCGCAGTGCGCGCCCCTGCTTTTCTTGCTCAAAGTGCTGGGATCCTCAAGGTGGCTGGATCCTTTTTGGCTTGCCTTAAACAGAAGGGTGGGTTGATCAACAGGTCCTTGAAAAGTGATGACCCTTGGGAAATCACAAAAATGATGATGTTTCCCACTAAATGGGAAAAGTTACGATGGTCATTTGGGGGCCAGGAATATTGATCAACCCCCTGCTGACTTGGCTCGCCAGGTAACCCATTGGACTTCTTCATTCCTTCGCCTGGGCCCAAATCCTGATCGACCTCCAGAGGTGCCCCGCTCAGCGATCGCCCCGAAATTTCTCCCACAGGAAGGGCGTTTGGTGTGCCGAGGCGAGATTGAACGAGGTGCTCAGCCCCACCGGCGCAGCTTTCGAAGGAAGATCCTTCGCCATGTGGAGTTTCGATTTTGCTTTTGTGTGATAAGAAGACGTGGCAAAGGAACAGCGATTGCGTGGCTTCCAATCAGTCATGTTTTTATAGAACAGGTCGGCGACTTGGCCGACAATGGTAATAGTCACCGGGGTGAATGTTGAGCCAATGCGAGTGGACGGCGAGTCATGCTGCCAGCTGGCGAGCTGAACCGTGTCAGCAAGTTCGCAGCGCTCGAGGAGGTGCTACCACATCGATTTCACACTTGTTGCTTTTGAGGTCGACAGAGCATTTCCTGACTTCCCGCGCAGGCAGCCATCAAGGAGCGGCTAGAGGCCTTATTGAAGGACTGCCGCGAGTGCAGCCATCGCCGAAGCCGCCTCTTTCACTTCAGCATGTAGGATGCGCGCGCAAGTTCTCAAGAGGAGGAGCTCTGTCAAAGGCAGCTGGGGCGAGCATGCAGTCAGGTGAGCCACAATCAAAGCTCGGGTAGATGAAGGTTAGTCAGGGACAATCCCAATCATAAATAGCTGCGGATATCCGCCTTCACAATTCTTCACATGGCATTTTACTACCGGGTTTTGACTATGACTCTGATCCTTGCTTTTGTGAAGGTATGAGGAGCTGGGGACTGACGTGAGCAACCTCAAGCCGCGAGCTCAGTGAGCCGCCAGGCCGCCAGCCCGCCGGGATCTCGAGGAGGTTTTGCCAGTTGAGCTGAGGAGCTTCTCGCAGGTCAACTTCTCCGGGTTTCGGAAAGCGCTGAAGAAGTACGACAAGCCGCTGGACCAAGTTGGGTGTGAGTCAAAAGTATGTACCTAGAATGGAAGCCTGGAAAATGGAGACAAAGACTAAGACCTGCGGTTCCTGGTGGTTTAATGTTGACCCATACCCAGTCCAGGCAAGCATGCAGACATGTGCCAAGCTGGATGTGCCGAGGTGGAGTCGGAAATCGACCATGCAATGGTTTATGTCACAGGCACTGCGTGCAGTCTAGAGTCTTTACTGCTTCGCTTGGGTGCATGTTGCAGGTTGTAAAGGCGCCGCTGATGTGCGTTGACTTTGCACGCGCCTCAGTTTATGGGATGGATCAAAGGATAGCGTGACCATGGGAGTAGTGCCGAACATCCTAATTTGCCAATCTAGCAACTCTAGTCGGGGGGTTTGCTCCCCGCATGTTGAGGGATAGTGAGGTTCTATGTATAATTCCGCTTAGCCATGGCGGAACTTTGCGGAAGAACATAGTTCGTCGCTCACATCTCGCCTACGAATCTCATGCTAGCGGCACCGCGCAGTTCCAGGAAGCGATGCTTCACCTCCTGACCGACATCGGCAGTGTATTACGGAAGAAGGCCATGCCAAAAAGCGCGCACACAAACACAGCCGAGCTCATACCCCGTCGACAGAGCTGGGAAGTCTGAATTGGCCAAACGCTTGGCTGATCGAGTTTCAGTCTTTGTTATTTTTTGCAACAGCAGGGGTTGGTGATATTTTTGGAGCACGGAGTCGGCACCTCTCCACTTATGAGCTGGTGAGCGCCAAGAGAGTTCAGTTGATTGCAGCTTTGACAGGGGGTGAAGCTGTGCGAGCCTTGGCCGCGACTCTGAAAAAGGGGTGCCGGCAGATCAAACCTGAGGTACCAGGACGTGAAGTGCAGCCCCTCTAGCCAGGAGGAGTACACAAAAGGTGGGCTTAGGGATGTGGCCGTCGTTTTGGGATCCCATTTTGGGGTAGGTGCACCACCCATTTTAGAACCTATTTTAGTGGGGATTGGGATGTTCACTGGGGGTACGGGATTTTGACCCATGACCATGTGCCAGAATAGGGATACCAATCGGTGGGGACGTTTGTGAGACATTGCAAGCGGAGCTGTGCAGGCTTGGAGAGGGGTGGGCTCGAGCGCACCTTTTTGCTTGAAGCAAAAGCCTGCAACTCAGCCGATGGATTCCTTGAGCTCCCCCCCACCCCCCGCAGCTGGCTGCACCAGGCTGCAATGAATTTGCGAGTGAAGCTGGCAGCATTCATGAGCGACAAGTACCCCGAGGACCTGGCAGCTAATTGAGATTTGCATGGGAGCGCAATTGCATTCCCAAGTGACATGGAGGCGCTTTTCCCTTTCTATTTTCTGGTGGAGGGCCATCTAGTTAGTACATTTGCCCGGATATCTCTCGTCAGGAGCGGGCAAGCACAGCAGGGGGCAAGCCTGGTCCTCAGCCGCATTCGTTGCTGTCAAGGTTATGGATCTTGGGTGCCGCGCCCGAGACATGACGTCCCAACCCGCGCGCACGCTTTGTCCACAGTCGCTCCCTGCGCTTTCCGGGAGTGTCCGGAGCAAGTTTGGCGAAGGATTTCGACGGATGCTGTTAGGGACTTAGGGATGTCTCTGGGGCCTATTTGAAACACGATTAGTCTGCTAGCCAATTTATCAGAAGCCAATGCGCAGCTGCTACAGCTGCAATGGTGTCAGCCACTGCATCGGTGTACCCTGCGAGAGCAAAGCTCATGTTTGTCCTAGCTGGTGCTGCTCGAAATGGGCTCAGCTCGCTGCCACCGAAAACACACAGACATAGTTCCGAACGAGATTGCGTTGCGGGAATGCAACCTTCTGTCAACAATGGTGGGTGAAGTTCAAGCGCGACGGGAGCATATCATGCCCATAGTGGATGCATTTCCAAGCACCAGTGTGGTGGATGCAGCTCACAGCGTGCCTTGTTTGATGGGAAGGTTGATAAGTTTCCCGCTCAACCGGGCTCAGCGTCACGCAGTTCTCAGCGTTCACACCGTTAGAACGCCAAGAAATCGCCAGTTGATGCAGTTCAAGTAGGAAATGCAAATGGATAAGGCACGGTCCAAAGAAGCGCAATGTCAACATTAAACCACCAGGGGACCGCAGGGTTTTAGTCGTTGAACCCCATTTACCAGGGTTCCATTTTGGCTACCCATTTTTGGGCAACAGCCATGACATGAAGTCATGGTTGCAGTTTGAAGTGGCTTGACGGGAGCAGCGAACAACTCCTGCAGCGTTCCAGGCAACGGCCCAAGCAGACAAGCCTGTTCCTCGACACTCCGCAGCTGCAGGCTGGCATATGGATGTTATCCATTGACATGAATTGAATCCTGGAGGTGTACAAGGATGTCCTCGACCACTACAGCAAGCTGCAACTAGCTCAGTATGTATGTGTGCGGACAGAGGTAGAGACAGAGACACGGACATACAGACACACACACACAGGCAGACAGACAGACAGAGAGACAGAGAGACAGACAGAGACAGACAGACAAAAATATACAGACAGACAGACAGAGAGACAGAGAGACAGAGAGAGAGAGAGAGAGAGAGACAGACACAGAGAGACACAGACAGACAGACAGACACAGACGGACACAGACAGACACAGACAGACACAGACAGACACAGACAGACACAGACAGACACAGACAGACACAGACAGACACAGACAGACACAGACAGACACAGACAGACACAGACAGACACAGACAGACACAGACAGACACAGACATGTTTGTTTTTCCTGGTTTTATCGATATTTTTGCTTTCCCCCAGTTTTTTTTGTGTTTGGCTTTAGCGCTCGAAAACAAACAGTCACTTTTTAACTTCTGGCACTCATACACACAAAACAGTGTCTTAGTTTTCAGCAGAAAAGTGACCATACACACACACACAAGGTGTTTTAAGTTTTTTTGGCCAACATTCACCTTTGTCGCAGGGATAACGCCAAAAAGCAAAAGCACTGAGGGAAAATCGAGAGAAAGAAAAGAAGAACAACATTTGGCAAAACCAACACTTCTCCTCTCAGTCTTTTTTGTTTTTCTCGAGAAAGACAGAGACATAAATACAGATATTTTTATTTTTTTTATTTTTTTCTTTTTAAAGAACAACATACGATCACTTCTGGTACTCACACAAGACCTTGAGCTTTTTTTGTTTTTGCAGGGATAACGCCACGCAAAAAGAGTTGAGCAACACCCAAACAACATGACAAACCAACAAGCTCAACTTTTGGGAAGTACAACACTTCTCCTCTAAGTTTGTTTTCGGGTGTGTGGTTTTCTACATTTAAGACATGTTTAGCAGTTTTGTAGCCAAGTATCAAAGATGATGCTCACAAGGGTTAAGCATGCAAAAACAACAGAGTTTCTTTTAGCTTCAAGCAAGCAACCACATGAACAACACAGTTGTTCTTTGCATTTTGCCTTGAATAATCAAATGACAAAATAGTCAATTAGATATATATGTATATATATATGGTTCCGTGTTATGACCATACTCATGCTAATTATTTTGAAGCATATGACTTAGAATATAGTTATAGACATGTAGAAGTGGTTTTCTTCTAGTTCTCATTGATGGGCGCCTTTTGCAGAACTCCGATTTCTACCCTGGCCACTCCCAAAGGGATGGGTGCTTTTGGGGCTTAGGTGCTATTTTTTGGGCAGTCCAGACTCTTTTTTCCCTGAGGGGAGGGGTGTCTGTTGCAGGCATCCAAGTTCATGTTTCTACTTATTCTCATCGCGCTTGATTAGGCAATTAAGGGCATTTCGAACGGTATTTCAATGTATTCTGAGTATTATGATTCTTCCCCAAAGGGGCGGGCGCCGTTTGGGGAAGCTCATGTCTTTTTCTAGTTGTTCAAGCTTTTTGTTTATGCGACTTATTTCAAACAAAGGAATTATCAGAATAGTTGACATGAATGCAGTAATTGCAACAACTATTTGGGGGGGGATTCGGAGTTTGCAATTATTAGTTATTGGATTTCAATTCCCATAGTTGCGCACATTGCAATAATTGGGGGCCGCACATTTTGCAACTATTCAATTATTGGAGTTGTTCGGGCAACATTGGGTATTCAAATTCAATAATTACTATAATTGCGACAGCTGCAATACTTGCAAAACCAGCCAATGTGAATTGCTGTTTTGCCCAAACGAGACAAGACTAGGCAAAGCCAAACCAATACTACTGACCAGTAGTATGACTCCCCCCCAACCACAAGGGGGGGGCAAGGGGGGGGCGAGGGGGGGTGGGGGGAGGCCCGGAGCCAAACCAACCCTGGACCAGGCCTAAATCAACACTGGGGGAAAAAGCAGGGGGCAGGGCGGCTTCTGAACCATGACCATGGCGCGAAGTTGCTGACCTCAAAAACGCAAGTACGTAGTATGCGCCTACAAGCAGCAAACCAGAAGTACTACCGATAGGTTTCGATATGTTTGTAAGTGCATCTTTGGCATGTTCCCAGCTCATTCGGCAGACGAGGGCTAAGACTTGAACGTTCGAGTGCTGACCATGTCAGCTGACCGGTTTCACCTCAGAAGGAGCATGAGCTTTGCTGGGCTTGTTTGGCCTCCCAGTCCCAGGCATGAGGAGCACGAGTCGTCGCAGCCTCATTGTTGCGTACTTCGCGGCATACTTGTCCCCAAAGTGTTTGAAAGGCATAGCTTTGGCCGCAGGTCGTGCCCTGCAAGCCTGCACGTGCGCTCCAGCGAGCGTGGGCAGGTGGTGTGTGCAGTGTACCAGGCGAGCATTTTCTCCACCTGGGGCATGGTGGACTCTAAAATTCTGCGTCTGGCCTCGAAGGCGAAGGGTGACAAAGGCAGGAAGGAGGTCTTGCTGAGGACGGCGGCAGCTCCCGTTGCGCTTTTCGGACTGCGGGCCTGGCAGGAACGAGGATGTGGTCAAGCTGCTGAGGGGAGAGGCTTGGCATGTGGAAAACACGAGCCCGCGGGGGGGAATGACAGTCATGAAGCTTACAAGGCAACTATGAGACAAGCGTATGGTGTGGATCCCTGAGGGCCAACCTTAGCCATGCATCCTCGGGCTAATGTTGGCTTTCTGAATGACCAAGTGCAAGCCTGTGCGCATGAGCTCTTCTGGTTCTATCTATTCAACACATACCTGAGCGCAGAAAGCGTCCTTTTGGGAGTGGATCAGCCCATTTTTTGGGGGGTGCGGCCATCTGCTGGTCCGAGGTGCCTTCCTCTTCGCTGGACTCAAGGGCAGTCGGTGCACGAGCCGTGATGGGCTGCGTGGGGGCCCCGGGGCCAGCCAGAGGCCAGAGGCTGTGGGCAAAGGCAGTGAGCTAGTTCGGGCCTTCATTCTTGGGTTTGAACTGGGAGTCAACCGTTTGAAAGTTTTTTTGCTCCCATGCCCACTAATGTGGAACCTGAGGGGTCCTATCAATGTGAAGAAGTGCCTAATGTCAAGGGAAACCACCAAGCTTGCAAGTGGCTGACGAGGATCCTCCGATGGAAAGATCCGCTTCTTCATCGGCTCTGCAGGAGGCACCTGCATGCAGGTCCTAATATGGATGTGGGTCAAAAATAGGTTCCCAGAATGGAACCCTAATGGAAACAAAGACTAAAACCCGCGGTCCCCTGATGGTTTAATTTTGACCCATACCCATATGATTCCCAGGGCACAACTCTGTCATTCGCTTTGATGTTGACTGCGCTGAAGGGAAGGTGCGCAAGTTGCGCTGCAGGTTTACATAGGCTTGGGCCATGTGGTCACACGCTTTGAGGGGGAACCTCCGCAAACATGGCTCTTGTGGACATTTGTCTCTCGGTAAATCATTTCTAGCAAAGGGTCCCCAATGAAAACTCATGCCCATTGCCAGGTGATTAGCACATTTGGCAGCTCGCTGGCTCCCCAAGCACAGGCGGAATCATGTGCGATAAATTCAGAGTTCCGGTTCTCCGTTGCAGGCCACCTACAGTCGTTCTCTTTTGCAAGACGGCAGCTGTGGCCTCAGCTGGAAGGTTCTCACCCGGGCACTCCCAAATTGATGAGTTTCTCTTTTTGGTTTTCCTTTACAACACCCGCACAAAGGGTACCCTCAAGAAAAGACACAGCTATGTCACCACGGCAATCCTGGCTACTAGCAGATTTTGTTTGTTGGCAAAACCGAAGGCGTTGGCGACTTCAGGTGGCGTAGTGGTCATTCTGGACGAAGATGTCCGGTTCGGTAAGATCCAGGCAGATTTGCGCCAGCTGCTTGTGCCCACATGTTTTTTGGGCCATCAACCCGCTCCCTCGCCCGGTCTGGCGCAGGAGTTCAATGGGGCTACCAGCTCCACGGACTTCTTTGATTTCATGGACCGAGTCTCGAGATACATTTCTGCCATGTGTTTGTTTTTTCTCCCTTCGGCTTGCAAATCAGGTCATCACCATCGTGTTCCCTTCAAGGGCCTTCTCCCTGCCAAGGAGGGGAGTCTCGAAGTGCCAGTAGTACAGTAGTGTGTTTCCGGCTGTTTGCATCGCACCCTGAGGTGGCTTGGTCTGCTAGAAGATGGCAGTGTAGTGCAGGTGGGATTTATGCTTGGGTTTGTTGGTGAGCGTTTGTGCTTTTTTTCTTACCCGAAACTTGCGGAAAGCGCATCCCGCTTGAGGCAAATGGCTTCTCCAAAGGTGCGCATGCCATTGCTCGCTTTCATGCGCTGGGGCTGCGGCCTTGGCTCGCCGCTCGCCGTCGCCGTGTGAGGAAGTCACAGGCAGCCAGCAAAGCAAGCGCTCACAACTGAAGGGAATTAAGTCAGGGGCTCTAGTCTCTGGTCTTGTGTCTTTCCGTGTCAGAAAACAACCCTCAACCCACCCCAAAAAGACCATAGACCTCACCCTAAACCAGCCCTAAGCCAACCCCTAAGCCCACCCGACGCCAGATCAATCCGCCCAAGACCCTTTAAACCATCCCCAACCCCACTGTACACACAACCCCCAACCCATTTGGAAGCCAACCCCACATCCAACCTAGACCCAACCCACATCCAACCCTGGACCCTAACCGAGCCGTCGAGCAGCCCAATGAGGGCTCAAGTCTTTGGCATCTTGGCCCTCCAAAAACGAAGAACAACAGCAGTTGACAGACACTCCGTTTTAAGCTTGGGTGTCGCACGCTGCTCGTTTCACTCATTTTGTTTGCGTCCAGCTTTCGCTGTGAGGCAGAGTTTACCCATGCCACATTGGTATGCCAACGCGAACATCTCAGTTCTGTTTGACCAGACAACCTCAAGTAGGCTTCTTGACTCGGCGTCTTTGCGCTGCAAGGTTTACTCCGATGCGCAGGGTGGAGAAGGTAGAGATGAAGCTGATCCGCAGTGCCACACTCGATAGCATGCAGACCACAGAGCACAGAAGGGTGTGCACGAATTGCACAGGTCGGCGGAACCAGCAGGTGGCCAGAAGGGTGACTGCCCCACAGCATGCGAGCATCAGGGGCCTGGCTTTGCAACCGTGAAGCTGAGGTATCGCCAAGAATGATGTTGACACCAAAGAGAAGGAGGAGATAGTGGAGACATCCCCAAGGCCGGGGCGAATTGAATTCGAGCGAAGGACGGGAGCAAAGGAGCAAAACGACGGCTAAACGCCACCAGGTGGACACATGCCAACGCGAACAGTGCACGCCTTCTGCATGAGCTCGGCACTCGAACAGGTCGTTCACCAGTGTAGCTGAGCTGGAGGTTCTGTCAGACATTCGTGGCGCAACTCTTGCATGAGGTTCGGAACAACTCCTCAGCAGGAGAGTCAGGCAGAGCTTCGAAGAGATCACGAGACAGCATGTGCTGGCACCATCTGGCTGTGGGTGCAAACCGTTTTGGGATCCCATTTTGGGGTAGGTGCACCACCCATGCTAGAACCTATTTTAGTGGTTGGATTGGGATGTTCACTGGTGGTACGATTTGGATATTGACCCATGGCCATCTTTGCAAAAACCGTCGCAGATGGCTGCAACTCGCATGGCTTTGGCGGCGAGAGGTTCGGGATCTTTGTGGGGAAAACCCAACTGGCTCGCGCTCACGGCAGGCACCAGCTCTCAGGAGCAGGAGGCAGTGCGGAAGCCAGCTGCGGCGGGCTCGCTTTCTGAGCCAGCGTCTCAGTGGGGGATGAGAAGCTGTCGTTTTTTTCTTTTTTCTTTTTCTAGAGCGTCGTCTGAACGTTGCTGAGGCCCTTGCTTGAAAAGACTTCAGAAGAGCAGGCCCCTACCACCAGTTGTTGGAAACCACTGCCTACACCTTGAGGCTCCTCAGGGCATGCTTCGCCGTCAGCGCCTCTGGTTTCTTGGTGTTTGGGCGCTTGTGTTGCCAGTGGCAAGCCTGCAGGAATATTTGGCGTTCAGGCGTCTGAGGACCAGGACCTTGTCACCACAGCAATGGACTCCGCTGTGGTTTTCTTTCGAGTAACCCGACCGGTTTGTTCGAGCTGTGAAATAGTGGCACGTGATTCTGGCAGAGGGCTGCGCAAGGGGAGCATTCACTCATGCTGGTCTTGCCTGGAGGAGAAAGCTGTGAGACGTGCAATCGTTGCTGTGCAGCCAAAGACCTTGTGGCTTGCCTGTGGTTCTAAAGAGTCTTGTGCAGCGGGGAGAGGCAGACAATGTGCATGCTTGCATGGAACGAAGGTATTCGAATGAGAGAACTTTTTTGGAGTGGATTCACTTCGCCACCATTCTGGCTGCTTCTGGTGCGGGCCTCGTAGAATGACAAACAAGTGCACTGCAAAAGGAAGCTTGATTTTCAATTTCCCGTTTTGCTTTGGGTGCTTGTCTTTTTTCTAGCTTCGCGAGAACCGAAACACGAACGGAAAAACATCCTTCAAAGCAATGCTTACCTATGCTCGTTTGCTTGCCCATGTGCCTTGAAGCATCCTCCATGAGCCATTCCAGGCCATAGTCCCTCAAATGATCAAGCCTAGCCTACCCCACAAGAAACTCCGACGCTCAACCAACCCCAAAGGGCACAAATCCTCAAGCCCTGCTGAAGGGAGCCTTAGGTCAAACCCTCCAAGCTGAATGAAACCCAACCGGGACTGCCCCGAAAGCGACACCAAGTTGATCCTGAACCTGCCCAATCAACCACTCTGAGCCCTAAACCCACGGTAAACCAGTAAAGCCACAATTCACCCTACCCAAACCCTGAGCCCGAAACATGGGAAACAAGCCTGAACCCAGCCTACGCCCCATCATAAGCCAACTCTAACCCAGTCTAAACAACAAAAGCCCATCCCACCCAACCAGAATCCACAAAAAGCCAGCAAAAGCCATGGGAACTGTACCAGTCCAAAGCGGGACGCAATCTACACGGTCAATCCCTCGCTCGTCTCGTCCTTGCGTTCCTCTCTGACGCTTCCCCAAAGACAGACAGGGAAGCACATAGAGAAGAGAGATTAAGGGACAGAAGGTTGATAAAGAGATAGAAGTGATTAGAGGTGGTCCTTCCTTCATCACTTCGTTCCTTCGGTCGTCTTCAACCTCCATCATCTCCTTCCCTCATCCTTTCCTAACCCTTTCCATCATTAACAGACAGGAAAGAGAGGAAGTGGATGATGAGGAAGGAAGACATGCCACTTGTCCTAACTATAGAATCTCTGAAGCACAAGAGAATCCGAAAGTATAGATCCTCGACCTTTGCAAGCGCTACCCCTGCATGCTCAGACAGCTGTTTCATCGCTTTGTTTTTCGCGGCCGCTTCAAACCCACCCACCCACACACCCGCAAGCCCGCCCGCCCACTCACTCGCACCCGCGCCCGCGCCCGCGCCCGCGCCCGCGCCCGTGCCCGTGCGCACGCGTGCCCGCGCCCGCGCCCACACCCACGCACTCACACACCCGCACACAAACACACACAGACACAGACACAGAGAGACAGAGACACAGAGACACAGGCACACAGACACACAGACACGACACACACACACACACACCTATGGCATTATGGTGTTTCGGATGTTCTTCCTGCAATCTACGGGCACTCTTTTTCAGGTGTGCTGATGCTCCATGCCGGCGAGGCCGCGGACAACTGGCGACTGGAGACGCGAAGGGAAGAGCCTTTTGAAGCCAACGGACTCCTTTTGACATACGATGCTTCAGAGCTATTTGCGCGCCTTGTTCTGTGACTGAATCGGGTTTGTTCATTGTCGCTGGAGGCTGGGCATGTGATCATTGGGCGGCTTCTGGTCTTAGCCGCGATCTTCCTGGTGGTTGGGTCCTTAGCTCCCCCTTTTTTTTTCTTCTTCTTTTTTTTTTGGCGTAGTTGGGCGTTGATGGGCAGCACGCATCATCTACTGGCAAGCATATGACATGGGCGCACCCACCGAATTGCCTTGGTTGGTGCCAAACTCAGGTCTGGTCGATGCACGTCTTCAACTGGCGTGCTGATGGTCTTGACTTCAAGGTGGACATGCGCTACGAGGAGTAGCCCATTCATTCAGGCAATGTTCAGGGACTGGCCGAGTGCAGGACAATGTTGGTCCTGTGGCATTGGTTGTTTCCATTTTGGGAGCCTTGCTCCTGTCTAGCTTACATGCTGTCAAGGGCTGAGTCTTTGGAGCCTGTCCTACTTTTTTCCAAGTTTTGTCGTGTGGCCGTCTGAGCCAAGGTCTTCTCAGCCGATGGGCCAACCACCACTGCCTGAGAAACCACTCGGGACGGCAAGATAGAGGAAAGCTTCAATTTTCATTCGAGCCGATTTCCTCCGTCCACCTATCGGGGCTGTTCCATGTCTTATGCCCCAGCTTTCCTCTGACAATCTTATTCCGTCAAAGGAGGGTCCAGCAAGCAAGCTCGGAAATGGAAAAGGGCCGCTCACAGCAGCAACAGTGGCAGTGAATGATTGTGTTGTGGAATTTAGGTTTCAGTCAGAAGGCTTCAGGCAGATTGTGCTTCGGCATGGGCTCAGCTTGCTTAGCTGCTTGCCATCTACCTGGACATGGCAAGTCTGCGGGGAGCTGAGAAATCAACGCCCCATTCGCAGCCGGCAATCGTGGACTCCTGAGTGGGCCTTTCTCATGACGAGACAACGCTTCTCAATCCAAACAACCTTGATCAGCCTAAGGTTGAGGAAGCGCTTTGCCGGCCTTGCCCGGTGATAGGCTCAGTTCAAGGTGCGATTCCCCTCCAAGAGTGGTAATTCTCCACTAAAACTCCATTTTATCAATACCCTCCAAAAGTGCTAGTTTCCCAAAAAGCCCCATGAACAAACCGGGGTCGATGGAACCGCTCCACATGACCCGGCGCTTCTGAGCTCGCTCAGAAGCGCCGGGCCGGAGAACTGGACTGCGCGCAACGTTCCGAGGCTGGAGGCCAACCTGTTAAGAAGGCACTTCTCGGACGTCTCAACAGATGTGAAGCCGCAGCCGAAGGCCCTTCGCCCGGGACCGGCCAAATTTTTGGGAGCTTTGAGAAGGGCCACTCTCAACCGGCCTGGTGTTGATCAATTTTCGTTTGGCCCCCAAACGACCATGGACAACTTGTCCCATTTCGTGGTTGAAATCTCATCTTTTTAGTGGTGCGCCCCGATCATCTCATGTATCACGGACCTACAAGGACGTTTTGTCCGTTCACTTTGGTTCCGCTGAATGGCCTTCAGGCCAAGCCGCCGCGGGCTCCGCTTGGATCACGGCTTCGAAGTTTCATGGCTGGGTTCACCGTCGCCGGGCGCTCGGGCGCTCTCTGCTTTTGAAACACCCTCACACATTTTGTTGGACCTAGGCTGGAACGCTGTCGGGATATGCCCTTTACTACAAAGTGGGAGCCATGGAATCGCTGAAACCATGTGGTCACTTTTGCCACATTTAGCACTCACTATCAGGTGCAGTGGGCAAACGAAGAGCTTGCCGCCATGGCGCGTGCCCGAGCTCTTTTTTTGCGAGTTCTCGTGAGACCTTGCCCTCCGCAAGGTCAGGGAAGCTGCAGCGAGACAAGCTCAAGTTGAGAGGAACGGTCTTGTCAATGTCCATGGATCCACTTTGGTCTGAATCCTGTGACCGGAGGCGTTTGAGCCAATTGGAGAATCGATGAAGACCAGGAAATGATGAACTATCATTTTTGGAGATCATAAATGACCGAAATCATTCAATTGAAATCAGATACCGACTTACTATAATAAGCCAATACATCATTATATTTGTGGAAGTCGTTGAGTCCACTAATGGAGCAAAACAAGAAATTAGAAATGATTGATTTGGTGGGGGGATTTATTGGACTTAATTGTTTTAAGGATTTAATGAATGTTGCGTTTTCTGGGTTTGATGAATTTGATGGCATAAATAGATAGAAATAAATGAATAAATAGAAATAACTTAAATACAACAACTTTAATATAATGGGTATTAGATAATATATGTTTTATAAATTGGCATGGCTAAAAGGTCGTATTTCGCATATATCGGTAATTCGTTTTAGCGGTATTTCGATGTTTGTGGTGGAGCTAAATTTCGAGGAAATTTGGGAATTTGTTCCATGGGATGTTTGTGTATTTTTGTATGTATATTTATATATATATATATATATTTTTATGTATATTTATATATGTATTGTGGTTTTTTTTGTTTGTGTTTTTTGTTTTTATTTGTTTGTGTTTTTTAATTTCTCGGGTTGTTTTGATTTATTTTTATATATTCGTCGGATTTTTAATTAAGGAATATATTATTTTATTCTTTATAGTGATTAAAGGGAACGAAGGAAGGGCAATAATATTTGTATTTTTTATGGATACTTTCGAATGCAGAGAGGAATGGGAATGGGAAATGAAGGTTGGTTTATAGGCAATTTTCTCTTTTTATTTCTAATAGACACGATTAGATGGGAAAGAAAGATGGAAATCTGGAAAAGATAGACAAGGAAATGAATCCTAGATTCTTAGATGGAATGGATTGGAAGGAAATTATTTATTTATTCTCTTTTTTTTTTTAATATTTTTTTAGGTATTACTATTAATAGAAATAACGGATTCTCTTATAATAATGAATTATATTAATGTCTTATTTTAAAAAACATATTATATAAATTAATTTCAAATATATATTTTTTATTTAATAAATATATAATATATATATAATATCTATATAATATATATATAATAGATTCTAATTAACTTAAGACAAACTATTAAAATTAATTATATTTCAAATACATATTTATTACTTATTATATATATATATATCAATTTATTATATATTAAGAGAATACCAAAAAAATGCGAAAGAACAATACGATACGCTCGGCGAAATGAATACCTATAAAGACTATATTATTAAAGAATACCATTCGTCCATAAAATTTATTACCATATAAAAATTTACAATATATCACAATATAAAACTATATTATATCTATATAAATAATTCGAAAATTGTATTATCGAATATATTTATCAAAATTTAATATATAATATAATATATACTTAGAAAATAATTCCTAATAAATTCAGAAATATAAAAAATAATATAAAATCATCTTTATACAATTCATTTTATAAAAATAATCTATAATATTAATATAATATATTAATATTACAATTATTTTTTATTATTATTATTTTATTAAACAATACTACAATTAAAGAAAACAATTTATAAAAATTAATATATACTATATATTATTTTATTTCCTATTTTTTATAATAATTAAAAAAAAATTAGTATTATTAATTTTCTCTAAATCATAAAAAATAAAATTCATACTACAAAAATAATACCAACATAAATATAATCATTCATTAAAATACAATAATTCAATCCGAAATATCATTATAATAATTCTATAAATATTAAAATTGTATAATCTTAAATTCATATCAAATATAACAATACACATACTATATATTCATATTCTATTATTCATTTTTATTAATATAATTAATTCTCAACATTTAATATTATTTTCCATTTACAAATCATATATTATTCCAACAATTATCATTAACATATTTTGCATATATCACTTATACATTTACTAATATCACCATCATTATCATTAGAAGTATTTCTATCTGGAAAAACACTGTATATGGTACAGCGTTGCCAGCCACCCCCCCCATGGTCATGGGTGGAATCAGCCCGCCCCCTGTGGATGTGCTTCTTGTCTACTGGTCATGGGTGGAACCAGTACCCTCTCCTGTGGATGTGGTTCTTCGTCAATGCTCATGAATCCGTCGGATGCCCCCCCCCCCCGGGCCTTTCCGGGGTCAGGGGGCCCCATACCTTCTGGCGGGGGGGGCAACACGGAACACGGGACCATATATACCTATATTGCTTGTCGTTTTCAACAATTATCACACACTAACTGCCATACAATACTCTGGTGTATAAGTTCTTGCTCAGGAGCTTGCGTTTTGGACATGGAAGAGCTTCGATGCTCATCAACGAATTCGAAATGTCCCAGCCTGCAGTATACATACAAATTAGCTCGAATGAGCCCCGGATTGGCAAAGCCCTCTGCTCCACTTCATTCCAGCATCCCTTAAGGGAGATCCAAACGTTTTCTTGTGTTTTGGGCTATATTGGGCAAGCATGAAGGACATTTTTGGAATCACTAGATCTCCGGTAGGCTTTGCCAAATCGGGTTCTGTGCCTCAGCCCTCGATCCCAATCACGTCCTCCGCGCTGTTCACCGGGCCCACACGTGCCAAGTGTCGCAGGACCAACTGCTCCAGCACCTCAGAAGCAAAGTGAATTCTTCGCATCGGGGCCGCAGGGTGGGAACGGCTCGCACAAGTTCGCCTGCCAACAGCCCTTCAAGATCAACGAGCTTCACTTTGGTCACTTTGACCTGAAGCTTCGCCTGTATGTCAGACAATCATCCACATGGATTTCTGCACTTGTCTTTCAAAACAAACCAATCACTACTTTCGAGCTTTTTGATACATCAAGAATGCGGCCGGGGGGGGTCAATAGGGAAACGAACAGAAACATTGGGGGGTCAGAGTTGGGCCTCAAGTAGTCTCCCCCAGTAAGTACTCCCTAGTACTGGCGAGACTTGCTTTAGCATTGCTCTGTGCTCGTCCAGTACTGCTTCCTGGTTCAGAGCTGTTGTATTCGGCGTCAACAGTATCCTTTTGGGTATTCTCGGAGCGAAGAGATCAAGCAGAAACGTGCCCCCCCAGATGCAGTGTGATCCATGCATCTACTTTTGAATGGGCTTTAACTATGCAACTTGGTACCCTCGAAGAATGCAGGGAAAGGGCTGGCTAAGGCCAAAACCGCTTTGGACTCAACCAAGGCGGCAAAATTTATTTGCAAGAAGGAACCCTCACTTTCCTTCTTGGGTGAGCCAAAAGCTTGGAGCTGTGCTTGTTTGCTGGTTTGCTTGTCTCCGTCCCTATCTCTGTCTCTGTGTTGTTCCTCTATGCATTTCTGTCACTGTGCTTCTTAGCCGCCGTGTACGTCTCTCTCTCTCTCTCTCTCTCTCTCTCTCTCTCTCTCTCTCTCTCTCTCCCTCTCGGTCTCCCTCTCTCCCTCTCTCCCTCTCTCCCTCTCTCCCTCTCTCCCTCTCTCCCTCTCTCCCTCTCTCCCTCTCTCCCTCTCTCCCTCCCTCCCTGTCTCCCTCCCTCGCTGTCTGTGCCTGCCTGTTTGCCAGTCTAGTTGTCTTTGTTTGTCTCCTTGTTTGTTCGTTCGTTCATTTGTTCATTGGTGGCTTGTTTACCATGGGAAAAACCATGAATGCTATGCCCCACAAAACGGGACAAGTTCCCCAGCAATTTGGGGGCCGAACGGAATATAGATCAACCCCCAGGCAAGTCCCAACACGGTGAGCGTCTCCAAGCTGGAAAAAGCGATTTTGCCAGCGGTTATCAAGTCCTGCGCATCCTGGGATCGCGCCTGCCTACTTGCTTAGCACTTAAACCCGTCATTTGTTTGCTTACTGTTTTCTCTTGGGGGTAAATAGGAGCCCTGTTTCCCCCTCGATTTCCGGGAGCTCCGCCCCGAAGCCGGCCATGTCTGGGAAACACCTTCTATTGCTTCGAGTTGCATGCCCCATACCGCCTTTGTTTGGCTTCCCTGGTTTCCTCGTGGGGTGCTTGCAATTCATACGCGGGAATGAATTTTCAAGGGAACCGCCTTCAATGTGGTTGGTGGACATGAATCTCCCCGTAAGAGATGCCCACCACAGGACCCCCATTAAGATTGACACCGGTACAAGCAGCCCTGAGGCCTTGAGGTGCCTAATTGTAGAATCGTGTCCCCCCCCTCTTTGCCCAGGGGCTCCCTATGCTTTGTCTTGGGCTAGGGTGCCCTGTAGAGTCAATGCAACCAACAGCAAGGTGTCCGTGTTGTCTACTTGCCAGTGGGAAGTAAGGTAGTGCTTGGGTAAATTGTTTTGACCTCGGCAGTGTGTGTGTGTGTGTGTGTGTGTCTCTGTGTTTTCTTCGTTGATTTGGTATTCGCACCTGTCGTTCGGCAAGCTGGCAGTATCCATAGCCACTTTGAGCGTTGAAGTTGCCATTTGTTTCTTGATTGACACACCGGTATTGCCTAAAATGTTTGGAACAACGGCATTCCCAAGCTCTAGCCCGTCGCCGCGGGGACAATGTCAAGTCCGTAGACCAACAGGTCGCGGGGGACTTTCTGAGGCCACCATTTCTTTGGGCAATCCAAAGGTGAGGTTTCATCCAGAATTGTAGGGACCCCTCCATGAGCCCGACCGGAGATATCTGCAAGCCAAAGGGCCTTCCGCATCTTCTCCAGGAGCTCCAGATCTTTAGGATTTTTCCTTGGCGCTAAGGGCTTGTGGCTTCCAAAAGTCAAAGAAAAGAAACACCGGTACAAGGGGGATGGTCAGATGGTCAATGGGTCAAGTTGCCATGGCTCCCCAAATGGGAAGTCTCAAGGATTTTGCCCACACTTGGAAGCAGCAACCATGCATGTCTCAATGTCTTAAACAGCACGCATCAAGCAAGGGTGGCAGCACGCAAACACTTCGCAACCCACTGCTCACACATTCCTCCCGCCATTTGGGTTGCCACCTGTGGGCCAAGAGCTGGAGTTCTGTTTCCCGGAATCTCCATGATCTGATCTAAGGAGTTTTCGCGTGGAATGTGTGTGTGTGTGTCTCTTGGGCAAGCGCAATAGCCAGCCAAACATCCGGATTCCCTGAATTTCCAATTTGCCTGCGGACAACTCAGTCACACTTCAACAGAGCTGCTTTTTCTTTGTTGCTTACCCTGTTTCGGCTGGTTCCGACATCTTTTGCCACATGCAACTTAAGCGTCCCAGTCGCCCTTTCAACCTGTATACATTTCCGATTGTGATGCATCGTCGTTTTGGCACTCTTCGATGCTCATTTGCTGAAAACCACCTGGAAGCTTCCACCAGTGCTGTCAGTGCACATTTGCGGCTGGATGGCCTTGATGTTCTGAAAGTCGCAGCCATCCGGGGGCTCGCCCGTGCTGACTCCTGTGAAGCCTCTCGTCTTGTTGAGCCTCGACGAGAACGCGACTCGGAGTACTGGCGAGTACATGCAGTGGATTGACGAATCCATTTCGCTCCACCTGAGAAACCCTGGTTTCTAATGATTCCCCTGTAAATACCAACAAACGCGATGGTTTCAACCATGGATTGAAAGTGGTGCGGGATTTTGTCCATATGCAGTATTGTTCAGCAGACAACCAGACCACAAGAAGCTACAAGATGCGAAGCAGCAGGCTTGCAAAGAAGTCAAGGTCTAAAGGAGAAACCAACTGCCACCACACAATCATGCCGCATCTGGCCAACTCGTACCTGAAGCTCACTTTTACTCTTTTTTACAGGGTGTCTAGTCCTGAGTGATGGCCCCACCATCCCCCATGTGAAAGGGAAGATCGCCCCGAGGTGGCAAAAACAGCCGCGAAATCCTCATCCTGCCGTCAAAGGATGGAATCTCTTTTCGGGTATGTTTTGGTGGACATGGTAAAACAAATCCAATCCAAGTGATTTGGATGCGACAGCTGGTGGGATCCGGACGCATGGCTCCGATCTCAAGCACCGGGCGTGGGGTTTTTGGCCGTCGGACTCCTTTCGCTCGCCTAGCTTCCCAATCCCCGAGCCAGCCGCTTCTCTCTTCTTTTGCCCCAAGCCACTGAAAAGTTTTCAAAGGCCGATGTTCAAACCTTTCCGAGGCACCACCAGCTGCCCTCCTCCCTCTCCAGATCCTTCCACTCCAAGTCCATGTCTCGCGGCCAATGGATCTCCATCAAATCCAGCTCGTGGAGCTCGGTGTTGTGGCACCACTCGTACAAGAAACACACCTAGCGCTCGACGCGCTCGCGAAGAGCGCTCAGGTCTAGCCGTCTAACTGTTTTCTATAGGCCCAAAGTGATTTTGAGATCCCTTGACATTCTTAGAGGCTGCTTGAAGGGTCAGGCATCTTGAGGGCGTAATATCTGAATTGTGTGCTGGGTGTATCCACCGGGGAGGGGGGACATGGGCCTAAAGACGCAGTTCCCTTCATCTAGTCTTAAGGGAGTTTGCGCTCTTGCAGGCTTGTGTGTCTCTGTGTCTCTCTGTGTCTCTCTGTGTCTGTGTGTGTCTGTGTGTGTCTGTGTGTGTGTCTGTGTGTGTCTGTGTGTGTCTGTGTGTGTCTGTGTGTGTCTGTGTGTGTGTGTGTGTGTGTGTGTGTGTGTGTGTGTGTGTGTGTGTGTGTGTGTGTGTGTGTGTGTGTGTGTGTGTGTGTGTGTGTGTGTGTGCGTGTCAGCTTCGAGCGTACCAACAAGTGGTGAAACTCATGCACATAGGCAAGAACAACTTGACCTTATTTCTTCGAACACGGAAACGTCACCGTCCTTTTCTGAGGCGTACATGGGCCTCCGGCTCCCCAGGACTTGAAATCAGAGTTGGCAGTGGGCAGTTGAGTGATCCCCAGGCCACTGCCAATGGCACTGGGTCCTTGAAATCCTTTAAAGAGCTTTCGAAGGGGGCCATCTTGAGGAAGCATGGCTATGTTGGTTGATGGCTGTTTGGCGCGTTGGTCGGTTGCTCCTTGTAGATGGCAACCCATGCCACAAAAAAAACCGGGGCAAAGCCTCGGCCCCGCCACTCCAGCATTCAATCAACCCAAGTCACCTAGCTTGACTTCACGTATGTGGATCCTTTTCACACTCAGTGTCAGATACTCAAACATCTCCGTGGAATGTTGGACTTGTAAGATACCCTTCCTGCACTCTCAATACAGGGCCAGACTTAGACCGAAAAGTCTTTTTGGCAGGTTGAAAGGGACAAACATGGAGCACCAACAAGGCATAACGTCAAACAAGCCGTTCAAATCCACTTGGATGGTGACTTAAATTACAGCCATCAGTTCCAAACCTTTTTGTCGCCAGTCAAAGGAGACAAGCAGACTCGCACAGACATGGTAAAGACCTTGGCACATCTGAGGGTACAAGGAGCACATGCTAGTGGACACGGGCAAACCTCTCTGAGTTCTGTGTGGCCTTCGCTATCTAGAAACCATCAGAAGCTGGTCAAGCTCCTTCAACCATGGCCAGCCCAGTTTGCCGTTTGGGACAGCGCCCCGTCGGGTTGCACCAGCGCAAGCTACGAACCAAAGGAGCGTGTCATCAACTTGCTCGACATTCTTAATGAAACAATATTGGAAAGGACTCAGCTGTAAGGAATCAATGGCGTTTAGGCCCACATAAACAAGTGTATCTTCATAAGAGCTTCCGTTTAAACAGGTCAATGTGCCTGTAAAACCATACCCGCCACAGCAATGCCCACAAATGGCAGGCGCATCAGCCCAGCGGCTTGATCACAAAGAGGAGCATCGCAGGTGCCGTTGGCGAAAGCTGTCACCTCAGACTGAGGGTCCAGTGGGGGAACCCCTTGGGTCGTTTCATGACACCACGCTGAGACCTCCAGCGGCTGGTTGCTTCAACTCTTGCAACCAATCCCGTGGTGCGCGGGACCCGCAGCACTGTCAAGAGAGCTCTCGTCCTAAGCGTCTTCCCGGGATGAATCCTTCGACTGCCCAGGGTCTTTCTTATGAAATGCAGAGCACCGACTTGCTTGGCCCTGACCTCAAACTCTTGCATTGTGGTAACATTTCGAGATTCCAAGCTAACAAACAAGACCTTGTAGCTGGACCCCAAAAGCTTGAAGGCAACTTCCTGCTTTCCTTCAAGCCGTCCACCAAGGACTCCAACCAGTTTCGATTCTCACGCAAACTCCCCTGGTCCTGTGGGGGCAAATAGGCATGCGCATGATCCCCACGGGAGGTTTCATCTGCAATAGACTTTGACCCCAATCAATAGACTTTTTCTTTTGACCCTTCAGCAAACAAAACAACAACACCAGGGGCCGACTTTGGGGTGGGAAGCTCTGCATTGAGGGAGATGGATCCACCGAACTGCGGCTTCCTTACGCTTCGACTTCACACCATGTTCAAGGAACTCACCGTCAACATATGATTAAAACAATATGTAAATGGAATGAAACCAATCTAAACCAGTGCCATCTACTTTTTATTCAAACCAACCCAAAACGGACACCTATGGATGATGATTCGATGGTGCCTCGAAGGCAAACATGGGAACTCCTGTCGCGGGAGAAGCCACATGGGAAACCGTCATTCTAGAGCTTGCAAGGTGGGTTGAATATTGGCCCGGCCACTTTGCCGCCAAGCCTGTGGTAAGACATATTGGTGCCTCACAGGCGGATTTCAACAGCGATTCGCAATCCTTGACAACTTGGTATGCGTTTGCGCATTGCAATTCACAGGGATGGAGTAAGAAGCCCCCGGTTGCTTTCTTTGGGGTTGTTGCGCGAACGATCTTCAACCCTTGAAGTCTGGTCCCCTTTCTCAAATAGATGTGATACAATGTATATATATATATATACATATGTATCTATGTATATATATATATACACATATATATATATATGTATGTGTATATGTATATACGCATGCATATATATATATATATATGCATTTGTATTTTGTGCATGTATTTATATACGTATACTTTCTACGCGTGTATATTAACAAATATGTATATGTCTTGCACATACCTTTGTACATACTGAACCAGTATTGTTCGAATCACTGTCAGTCGCCCCCAAAATGACTGCATCCAGTTTCCCCCAGAAGCAGCTCTTTGGAGAATCAAAACACGGACCTGAATCGACAGACTCTTTGATGCCCCAAACCGCCGAGCGGCAGTGGTCTGCTTGTATCCCGGCACCTTCTGGAAAAGCTCTTTGTCCTGAATCAAAATGCTTCTGATGGACCCACAGTGGTTAGCCTCAGGATCCCAAGCAGCGCCCCGCTGTGCGACCCGGGGAATGTCCCTGGACCTTGTCCAGGCCCCAAAGGATTCCAACTTTTGATCGATGGGAACATGCCAAGCCACAAAAGAACAGACAATACACCACGCTTTGCTCACCGTCGTCGACATGTTCTCATGAACATGAACACCCAACCACTCATTTGCAAAGGAAACAAGCTCCAGTTGAGAACCCCCTTAGTTGCATTCTGAGGGTCTGAAGGTGCCAAGCTGCAGGTTTTCTCAACGGGATAAGGGTGCGGGCCGTTGCTCAAGCGGTACAACTAGACTCGACCAAGAAAACTTTTGAAGGAACCTGCCTGAAATGAGGACACCCTACCATCTGCCCCTCTTCAACATGGCGCAGAAAATCGAAGTGGTCGAGCCGACCCTCATGGACGACTTAATTAGGTTCACAGGTCAAAACATACTTGGATGATATATATAGCTTGCGTCTTCCAAATGATGGCCTATAAAGGAACAAGTGTGACTGTTGTGTTTCCACATTGTCCCACCCATTTCAAGTTGCTTCTTTTCTCTTTTGGTTTGCCCGTCCTTCCACAGCGCCTCTGCATATTTCTGCATGTCTGAGGAGAGCTCCGAAATCTTCTTGAACCTGACTGATGAATGGTGTCTCCGAATGGAAGCATCTGTCCTGTACAATCCCAAAACTCATTCCCTGAGTGGATTGGCCAGAACAAGTCCAAACTTTCACTTTACCACTAAAATGGCCTTCCCAAAAAGTGACTAAAGCCAAGGGGAGTGAGAAAAAGGGAGCACTCAAATCAAAACTCAGTTGACTGGCCCAAGACTTGATATTTTGTGGAAGTTGCTTGGCCCTTCAAACTGTTGGGGGGACAGGCGACAGGGTCCTGTTTTTGTTGGAGAACGACGAGCTAGATTTACTCGCAAGGAAAGTCTGCAGCTTGTGACATGGATGAAACAGGACCATCTTGCACAAAGCAGCCCCAGTTCAACCTAATTCACAAGCTAAATCAATGTATGGTATGTGTCTTTTAAAAACTTACATAATATGTTGCTCATATGGCTGGTCAAAAAAAGGTACCCAAAATGAAACCTTGGTAAATGGAACCAATGACTAAAACTCCTGCGGTCCAATTTCTGGGTGGCTCAGCCGAGAAGCCGCTCTTCCTCTTCAGGCGTCAGTGTGGAGCCTCTGAACAAGGACTTGTTGCTGGGACTCACCTCAGGCGCCGATGGCATGGATCCTTGCCGAAGCAGATCGAAACCAAACACCCGCCATAGTTTGGCTCTGGTGGCTTCCGTGGCTTCCTGGCAGCTTCCCTTTCAAAGGGGAGCAAGCGAAACCCGGCACCTTGAAGCCCGACACCCGCATGGCTCTCAAGCGGCGTCCTGAAAGCCTCCCTGTTAAGGCACATAGGGGGGTCCCCCAATAAGACAGGTCCTAAGACTCTTGGTTCACCGGCTGTGGGCGGAAGGCCATGTGTCAAAAAAAAGGACTTCCTTGGGGTGGGCTTCAGGGAAACCGCATGGGAATCCGAGTTTACTGCAAAAATTTCAACATCATTCCAGAAGCTGAGTTAAGGGACCCCCAAGCAAAGGACCTTTATGGTGAGCTCGCTATAGAATAGGCAGATAGTCTTGAACCACATGCCGAACCTCGGACGCTTTTGGCCCGCAGCCGCAGGATGCACAGGCTTGCAGAAAGCGTCGCTTGCGACGGACTGCGGAATCCAGTGGATTCCACTGGGAACTTGTGATCAGTTGGGCTCCATTCGGTGACGTTGCTCGCGCGGAGAGGCAAATCAGGTGGACATAGTTGGACGTGCCCTTTTTGACGCCTTCCCCGTCGCCAACATGGGAAGCTGATTTGCCTCCAAGCCAAGGATCTGTTGTGCGATGGGCGGGTAGAACCTCCTTCTCTTCGGTGCACTCGAGCTCCCAATATCTCCCAATGCGATCTTCCACTTGTTCCGCCATGTGTGCAAAATGGGGAATGCCCTCCGGGATATCAGGGGCAAAAGGAAATCCTTGCGCCCAGGGATCTTCCCCTTGCAGGACGCATGTGTCAACTCAGCCGCACGTGGAAACTCGGCCGTGAGGGCGTTCGTCTCAGGACCAAAGGTTCTCAACCGCAGACTTCAGGTCCTCCTCACGTGACTGCGGGTTTTCTTTATGCTTCGGTTTGGAGCTGGCATTTGTCCTTCTCGGGAAGCCTCTTTGGCTTTCGGGAAGCCAATGAGCTTTCGGGAAGCCAGGCTGAGGCTACGGAAATGCAATTGGCATCGCCTGCGAGTGGCTCTCGCGTGCGAGTATCTCCCAAATCGTAGACCACACCTCCCTGGCTAGAGAGCACTACGCCGAGACTGAATTCGAGGAGTCCATCAGTCGATAGATTCACATTTCGGGTCCCGTAAACTTTGTCTGTGCTACTAATGTCAGTCTACATTGGTGGCAGCTACTGTGTGTCCTTTGTCCTAAAGGGTCCCTTCCTGAATCCGAACTCATGTCTGGGAACCTCCGGGCTCGCTCCTTGTCGTACTTGTTCTTCTCCAAACCCTTAAAGGGCTCGCGCCAGTGCATGCGCGGGTCGACACCTCGGAAGATGTCCCCACATCTGCGTGCCAGCTCTTGGGGCATCTGAGCGCCTGCGAAACCCGAGCTTGTGACACCCACGAAGTCTGCCAAGGCGAATTAGAGCTCAAGGGCTGGGTCTGAATTCTGGGAAATGCAACCCAAAGATCCGGCGAAGGCTAAACCTGCAGGACCCGCAGGGTCGCCAGCATCATGCATATACTACATGAACGCCAAATTGGGAAGCCAAAAGTTAGCTTGACCAGCTTCGGGTCTTGAGGGAAGCCTTTTCATTGCGAGCCTAGGGTGACTCACTCAGTGGCAACACGGTGAGGCAAGTGGCAAGCCCACGTCTTTGTATTGCCCAAGAACATATGGTGTGTGTCAGGAGCAGGAAACTCTTGTGTGGAAGGCTTTAAAGCACACTTACATCCGGTTCCTTTTGGTTGTCCTTCAGTTTTGGCTCATTCTTCTCGCGCCTGAGTCTTTGATCACCTTGGCCACCATGGCCATCCCGTCGTGGTCGGCTTCCGTGATCAAGGACACGGCCACGCCCTTGCCGTTCCGTCCCGTGCGTCCAATGCGGTGGATGTAGTCTTCCGTGCTGCGGGGAAGATCGAAGTTCACCACCAGCTTGACGTCCTGGGAGTGCAGCGAGAAGAAGCTTCTGACCAAGGGACCCTTTGATTGTAACCGAAACCGCCGTTGGACGCCCGGGGCGCCGCGGCCTCGAAATTCACCGAACCTTCCTGAAGACTGGAATCAATTTTGAATACTTTGCTGTGACTCCAGCTAGAGCAAGACACGGGCTGCTTGCTGGAAGTGCGAAACACAGCCATTGTCCAGAAGGGGAGATCAGATGAAAGTCAGCCAGAGTTGATGACAAAATCCGAAGCTCCATGTATGCAAGATTCCACTTGGATTGAGCACACATGATAAATCACCCAGTGGAATAAATAATCCCCAAGTGAAGGACCTTCATCAAGCGCAGTGACCTTGTTGAATTTTGTGCACTTCTCAGCGCGCCTCTGAGAATGTATCAGCTCTCTCAACCCTTTGTCACCAGTGCGTGCGCTGCAACCGGTCCTTAACGTCAATGCCCCGCCCAGCCACATCTGTTGCCAGTAGAACCTGCAACAGCAAACTTTAGAGTCTCAGTGGTCGTGCCACTGCCGCCGGACTGGAAAGGCCACCGATGCTGGAGGCGCTTCGCAAAAGGGAACTAAAACCCAATCATGTTCGAGAACTCGATGCGTGGTCCGAACATTTGTTGACAAACATCCCCAGAAGGAGTCACACACACACAGACACACACGCAACTAAGTATTATTGCAATAACAATTGAAATGAACAGCACATTTGGCGCTATGTGGACGTGCCAATTCCCATCGGACTCCTCTGGATCTGACAGCCCCAGCCCAAATGGCTGTGTCTTCTTCAAGCCAAATCACAACCACTTTAGCGCTTCCAAAACTTAGACACACCCCCAAATGAATAAGCGTATATACATATAACCCCAACTTGCACACATGTGCTTTGTCTTTTGGGGGTCTTGCGCTCTGCTCGATTTCCGCCTGCGTGTGATCATCCCGGAAGCTTTGCAGCGCCTTCTCCCGCTCTCGCTGGGCCTTGTCCCCGTGGATCGCCGACACTGCCAAGGGCAAGCGCCCTGCAACGAAGGGATCTGAGGAGTTTTGCACAATGGCAGGCTGCTTTTTGGGATGGCTTTAAAGGGACAACAGGAAGCCAATTCGTGTCAGGGGCCCCAATTCTGAGAAACACCAACCTGCCCGCGGCGTGAACGTGGGGGAGACTCGTTTTCAACTGCGAACCCGCGAGATTCGAAGGGCAGGTCTGCCCCGAGAAAAAACCACGGCAGGGTGCCAAAACCCAACGACTTGTAAGCGGAGAGACGTGCCCTCGCAGTGATCCCTCCTAAACAAGAAAGTCGCGCCCAATCGGCCAGCAAGGGTTTTCGGCCGCGCAAAGTTGGAAAGCGGTTGGTCAATTCGCCTCGGCCCCCAGCGGTTCCAGCCCCTTGCCTTAGACTGCACCTTTAGTTTTCAGTGGCCGCATCCGGTTAAGGAGCCCAGACTGCGAAGCCTGAGCCCCTTGGCATACAATCCTAAGATAAGGACCCCACCCACAGGAAGAAACACTTGAAACAGCGACGTTTCCCTTCCAAAACACCACCCGAAAAGGGATCCCTAATTTTAGGCTCTCCCCCCCCAAAAAAGATCATAGTACAGTTGGTTATTCAAAACAAACAACATGACAACTACCCAAGGGCAAGCCATGGTTTTCCAGATGATTCAGGAAGCCTATCATAAGATGATCATGACTTAGGTATTGAATTATATAATCCTTGTCAAAACTCGGGACGACATCTGAGTTATTTTGAAGGGGCACAAACACGGTGTCAGGCTGGTGTCAAACCATTTAGAGGGGGTGGGGCACTGGTCTTGACACCTCTCTGCGTACTTCCTTTTCGGCAGCATCAAGGGAACCACCCATTTTGGGTTGAATATCCGGCCCTAAAGAATTAGAATGTGGTTGCGGCGTACTTTGAGACCAATTTAAGCAACGTTTTCCCCAGTAGTTTTTCAGCCAGTTGCGCTGCCCCGTCGCTTTGTTAAACGCAAAAAATGCCGTCGCGGCCTCTGAGGCTGCGCTCCAGCTGTTGGCATCCCCGCTTCGTGGCCACGAAAACGATGGCTTTGGCCCTGCGCGATTCGAATCGAACATTGGGGGCTGGGCGATTCCACTCGCCAGTGCGTCAAGAACCCACGTGGCCATCGAAAGAAAGACCCCGAGGTTTCCCGGAAGCATGGCAGCTTTGCTGGGCAGAAGGTCACTTGGAGGGGAGGAATGCGTCACACGGATCCAAACCGAGGAACTCGGCTCGGTAAACCAAATTTGTATCCGCCCCGTGCCTTCGTCCACGCAAGAGCGAGGCCAGCGCCGAGCACTTCTCTGAGTCCTCGCGGAGGAACATCACCTGGGCCGTGGGGGTTCTCCAAAGTGGGTATAGTATCTATTTCCATATAAGATGAATCTAATATAACCGTATGTCAAATCCATGTAATGCATCTTCACCAGCTGTTCCAGACTCCCACTCCCAGAATTCCGCAAACTCACCGAAGCGCACAAAACGCCGGGCAGCACTATATTTATATTACTTTCTACACCATTTCAATATAGTAGGTTGGAAGCGTGTGTCATGGAGCCGACACTTACTTGCGATCGTGGGCCGAATTCACTGTATGTTTGATGACCATCATCAACCTGATTCAACCAGGAATTTACCAATGTGTTTTCGCCCGTTCAAATGCGTCTACAAAGAGGTTCAGCTTGGGGAACGCATCCAGAATTCCTTTGCTGTTCTTTCCCTCACTTACAAGGCACGCCAAAGTGCCATTTGTTCAATCCAGCAACGTACGTAAACTTCGGATTTTAGGAAGACCCCTCCAAATTGATGAACCAGGAACTTCTTGTAGCGGGAACTGATGCCTCCGATTAACGGTGTCGTCCGGATCAATCTGAATGATTCTTCACCGACCAAACATTCTACAGCTTTCTCAACCTTCATTCCTTGTGAGGTCGGCATCCAAAGTCATCCGAAGCATGACTAGCGCTGCCCAAGTCAAACA